GCTGTATGCAAAACTAAGGGGGGGGGGGGGCGAAGCAGGGTCTGAGAGGGGGTTCCAAAGAACCTCGATCCTTTTGGTCTGAAAAGGCCAACATTGGACACAGAAGCCAAAGATTGCCATTAAATGAATGAATGTCTTTGGAAAATTCTGGGACTTATCGAACTAAGTGAGTGTGTTGGTTCACAGGATAAACCATTAAATCTTAACCTCTTATTCCACAATCTGTATTTCTGTTTATAACTGGTGGTAAATGTTGGCTGTACCTGTACCCTCTACCAGAGCCGCAGATTAACCATCAGCCCCGAATAATGTGGGATTTTCCTCAGCAGAGAAACTTGTCACGAAGCAGCCAGTGACATTTATATATGTGAATATGTAGTGAAAAACCATTGTGACCCTAGGCCTGGTAAAGGATATAGGCAACCTGAGAGGGCAAAGGCCCGAAGTAATCTTTGTACTTTTCATATGTGCCTAGAAGCCATTAACCGTAGAATGTTGGGATTATTCCATTATAATTTGTCCAAACATTTGTTCAGAAATATTCGCCACTTGAGACGGTTTTTAAGGCCAAACAGATTTTCCAAAATTTCCTCAGTAAAAGTAAAATACCAAGTCCAAGGTAAGGTTTAAATGTTGCTTAACAGCTTTATAGGACAACCCGGTTTTATTTTTGGGACGAAACACCCAAGCAACCTTAGCAGTGCACGACCTATCCCTTAAACGCACGTTCATAACAGAGTTGACACTTTTGGAAAGTCAGGTTTATACTTACGTTGTAAATCCACCGTAACAAAGACGCATGCCAGTGCAAGAACCCAGAACGCCTGTCTCATTTTAATAGCTATAGTTTGCCCGCGGAGCGAGTTTCCTTGCCAGTCAGTGGCTGGTGGTGCTGGAATGCTGAAACGGTGATTGTTTTCCTGACCCGGCTGAAATGGGGATTGCTTTCCTGACCCGGATACCTTACTCGCTAGCACGAGTGCTGTGTTGCTTTTATATAGGTAAAAGAGGGCGCGTTGTTTGCATTGGGTGTACTGGCTTGTGGGGCCAGGGGTCGTTTTGAAAACGTATGCAGGACCGTAGGCTTCGTGTGTCTGATGTGCAAGTGTGTGTGTGTGTGTGTGTGTGTGTGTGTGTGCGTGCGTGTGCGCGCGCGCGCGTGTGTATTGGGAGGGAGAAGGGGGAGCAACTGTCCCTTCTGCACCCCCGCCCCATCTCAGGTATGTATTTTTTATATTTAGTATGCAAAACAATATTCATTGCATGTAAGGTATATTGTCTATGTTGTGTGCGTGCTTTATGTGCTAATACAGTGCTGCTGTTTTATCAAGTGCAACCCATCGTGTTATTCTTAAAGAAGACATATATACAAGTGTATACAGGTATATACCANCCCCCCTGGCATTTTGCTCAGGCTACGGCCCTGATATGCTGTAATTACGCTGTCCTCCATCTCTTGCGTTAGTCTACATTTTGCTGGGAATTTTTAAAATCTGTGCGTACAATTTTTAAAGGTCTGGTTACGCCCCTGCAATCTGATTGTAAAAATCCTAAAAACCTGGTTACGAGGTCGATTGAATGCAGCTTGCATCGTGATTGAAATACAAATCGGCGAGCTACAAACACTGTATATTTACTTATGACTTACATTATTTACTCGAAAATTGTAAATATAACTCCCGTACCACAGAATTCAATGATAAACGGAAGTACCACTCGGAGCTTCAGGGTTTGCTTAAACTCCAATCCCTCAACAGCTGCATAACCATGCCAACTGGTGGCTTGATAAGGACAGCGTATGCTGTATGCAAAACTAAGGGGGGGGGGGGGCGAAGCAGGGTCTGAGAGGGGGTTCCAAAGAACCTCGATCCTTTTGGTCTGAAAAGGCCAACATTGGACACAGAAGCCAAAGATTGCCATTAAATGAATGAATGTCTTTGGAAAATTCTGGGACTTATCGAACTAAGTGAGTGTTTTGGTTCACAGGATAAACCATTAAATTTTAACCTATTATTCCACAATCTGTATTTCTGTTTATAACTGGTGGTAAATGTTGGCTGTACCTGTACCCTCTACCAGAGCCGCAGATTAACCATCAGCCCCGAATTATGTGAGTTTTTCCTCAGCAGAGAAGCTTGTCACGAAGCAGCCAGTGACATTTATATATGTGAATATGTAGTGAAAAACCATTGTGACCCTAGGCCTGGTAAAGGATATAGGCAACCTGAGAGGGCAAAGGCCCGAAGAAATCTTTGTACTTTTCATATGTGCCTAGAAGCCATTAACCGTAGAATGTTGGGATTATTCCATTATAATTTGTCCAAACATTTGTTCAGAAATATTCGCCACTTGAGACGGTTTTTAAGGCCAAACAGATTTTCCAAAATTTCCTCAGTAAAAGTAAAATACCAAGTCCAAGGTATGGTTTAAATGTTGCTTAACAGCTTTATAGGACAACCCGGTTTTATTTTTGGGACGAAACACCCTAGCAACCTAAGCAGTGTCCGACCTATCCCTTAAACGCACGTTCATAACAGAGTTGACACTTTTGGAAAGTCAAGTTTATACTTACGTTGTAAATCCACCGTAACAAAGACACATGCCAGTACAAGAACCCAGAACGCCTGCCTCATTTTAATAGCTAATAGTTTGCCCGAGGAGTAGAGCCAGTTTCCTTGTCAGTCAGTGCCTGGTGGTGCTGGAATGCTGAAACGGTGATTGTTTTCCTGACCCGGTCGAAATGGGGATTGCTTTCCTGACCCGGATACCTTACTTACTAGCACGTGTGCTGTGTTGCTTTTGTGTAGGTAGATGCGGGCACGTGATTTTCATTGGGTGTACTGGCTTGCTAGGCCAGGGGTCGTTTTGAAAACGTATGCAGGACCGCAGGCTCCGTATGTCGGATGTGCGAGTGTGTGTGTGTGTGTGTGTGTGTTGGGAGGGGGTGGGGAGGGGGGTGGGGGGCAACTGTCCCCTCTGCACCCTCACCCCATCTCCGGTATGTATTTTTTACATTTGTTTGGTGATAGTGTCCCAGTACATTGGAAATCTTTTTCTATTCATTTTGTCAGCGCGTAGAGTAGTACCACGAACGGATGTTACGGATAGCCTGTTTGAATGTACACGTTCTTGTATATTGTGCACGCTTTCAGCTTGTTCAGCAGCTGCCCTCCAGCCTTTTTTTTTTAGTCTGCTATCAAGGTATCACTTCATTTTTATGCGACTTCCACTACGTGCCCACGTTTACAGTTTTCTTGTACATATTTTTCGAATGTTTAGTATGCAAAAACAATATTCATTGCATGTAAGGTATATAGTCTACGTTGTTTGCGCGTGTGCGTGCTTTGTGTGCTAAAACAATGCTGCTGTTTTATTAAGTACAACTCCTCGTGTGTAAATCTTTCAAGAAGACACATATACAGGTATATACCGGTACTCGATCTTTTCAATGGGCAAAATGTTTCAATTTTACAGATGCTGTATAAAATTGCTGTAGAGTGGCAGCAACAACAATACTATACTCCAAAGGAGGCTTCTACATAGTTCTATTCTAATCTGTACAAAACAAGCAGCATAAATGCTATATGGAAAAAAATTTGTGACAGTAAAATTGTGTCTGAAAGTTGATCATTTTTGCCATTGAAAAGATCAAGTCATTATCGTATCGTGCACAGCTCTCAATCTACAAATATGGCTTTAATTGTGATACAGATACATGTAGAACCATTGATCCGATGATTGATGGGTCCTACTTTAAATGTTTTACGAAAAACTCAGATTCAAATAAAAACATTTCACCTAAGAATTCTAACCCTTTCTTTTTAAATGTGTTACATGTATAATAAGAAAAGATTCCAAATGTGTGTCTTCGGTCGAATGAGTTAATTAGGTTGTTACCCTTCATCTTGGCTGCCAGCACTATTATTTATTTGTTGAGTCCTAGTTTTTATGCTTTACCCTGCGAGTGATTTTAATACCGGCAGGTGTTTACACTTATTGACGTCATACCTGTTGATTTTTCATCCCCTGATTGACATGTGACAGTCGAAACAGATAAATGAACAACACTTCAGTTGTTAACTTTATCATTATTGTTCATCTGGACATTTCAGTCGAAGATCTAATTACATTACTGTTGTATAATAAACACGTGTTTGTCATATCTTTGATTCTGAAAACAATGAGATAAGTTTGTTGCTGGAAAGCGTGTATCTTCCCATTTATTTTGATTCTTTGCCCGATAATGTTTAAAAATCATGTCTTCTTGTGACAAGAAGGAGGAGAAAATCGAAATGGAATATGTAACCCCGGTTGGTTACTTGATTCCGAGCGAGTAGCAAACTTGAAAACACCGAAGACATCAATGGTATCTCATGAAGATCTTTATTTGTTGACGGGCTACAATCTGGCACGCAGGCAGGGACAGTCACGACGATCTCCCGGGGTCTCTCTCTCTCACTAACTGAGAAGCCCTCATTTTATAGGGAATCGTTCTAAGTCCTGCGTGTCCAATCACTATCACTAAATGTGTGTAATTTATAGGAATAATAAAGGAACTAAAGGTAACATACGTGATTAATAGGAAGTATCAGAAAACTAAATACAGGGACCTTATTACATTTCATAGTAGCCCTGAACACGGATATGTTCTCCGGGTAGGAAGGTTACATAACGCTCGGACCTGGGAATGGCCTCAACTGAAATTTCCCCAGGTGTAGTGACTGTTTTTGGTGGAAGAGATCAAAAGAGCGAAATGACTATAATGAGGCCAAAGTATTTCTACAATTTTAGAGTCGGCACCGGGTTTCCATTTTCTGTCATCTGAAAGGGGTGTATTTTCAATTACTTAAATAAATTACTCTACCGAGATTTTTGTTTCTAATTTTGGTTTCTCTTCCGTGATTGAAAATGTGATTTAAAGGCAGAGACAAATTGTATAACACTACCGTGTTATAAATATAAAGACGAGGATATTATATTGCGAAACAAACGATACAGAGAGAAAAACTGTGGTCACCTGGTTAATCTTCAGAAAACAAGACAGAACAGAGATAAAAAGAAGAAAAACAAAAATAATATGGCGTAAAATATTTGTCTAACAGCCCAAACCCCTGGGTAAAAGAAGTAAAGAGCACAATAAGAGACGCCTCTCTCTCTCTCTCTCTCTAAAAAAAAAAAAAAACTGAAAGCAGTGAGGTTTCAGGTGGAAATAAACTGATTAAAAAGGGAAAAACGAGTTGTTTTGGGGCAACCAATCTACTCGTAATTTGGCATTTCAATTAGTAACTATCCATAAGTAAAAATTAAGGTGTCATTCGTGTCGTCAGGGGTTTCATTCGATCCCCTTCTATATATCGCCTTTACCATGTGTATCTCCCATCGCCAATTTCAATTTCTCGTGTTTTTTTTTTTTTTCGCATTCAAATGCAATAGGAGAATGTAGTGGATAACATGATTAACAGCGACTAAAACTTCATTTAGATTAGGTAATGGTGTGTATCCACGCAGATTTAAACAGGCGTGACCATACCCGACCTGGTCTAACCTGATCTCTGGTGAAAAACACGGTGACGCTGCACCGACTTCGTACTACCTTAGAATATAACGCAATGGAATGAATTGTACCTGGAAAGTCAAATCGATTGCGGTAGTTGTGCTGTCGCAACCAGTGCAATTGTGAATGCATTGACAACCAGTGTCACGAAAGAGATTCCTTAACTTGATCACCCAATTCCTTTTAACTGGCATATTGGCCTCCATCGCTATACCTGGTCACTTTCAGTTTCGTTTTTGCTGATGACAATCCCCCCCCCTTTCCATGTTTGCCAACACTTTACATAACTGATCTTTACGTGTTTGGTAGACTTCACCACAAAAATCGTATCCTTCCCCCCCCCCCCCTTGCTTTCAATATTGTACCTAACTGCGACATCACCAGTACGCGAGCTGATTGACGGGGATTTCAGTGGTCGCGACTTCACATGGTTGATTTGATTAGATGTATTAGGTATAAGGAAGTATTGAAAACTTTCTCAAAGGCGGATGCTCTACCCTTTACCAAAGCGTCAGGTTTTGCATTGCATACGTGATATACTGGTCGTTTCGGTCGAGATTCGCTTCTTAAAATTATAACCATTTATGTTTCGACCCTGCTGATTCATCCATAATTATAAACTGTTACGTCTGATAAGACCATGGCATTTGTAGAGCAACAGACAAATTTAAGTGCCAGTTATCCATTTTTACCTCGTTCATCATGTCTTTCTCATCTATTTTGCCCATTCAAAACACAGAAAACAACCAGTATTGACAAAGAATTTATTACACTTACTTACAATACAGTTACACGAAAAGTATGCATGTTATATAAGAGAATAAGAATAACTGCTTGAGCCAAATACAAAGCTTCACGTAATCGCTTCACATCATTATCATCATCCTCATAATTATACTATGAAACATCATTTACTAAAGTATTACCAAGCTTGATTAATAATATCAATAATATATTAACTTTATCTTGATAGCACTGCCCCATACAATAAAACCAAATTCTGGGCTACTTTTGCCACGCAATCTACTTCAGTTCTCTTGATATTACACTTAAAACAAATTTTAGGGCTTCTTGTTGGCCGCGCAAGCTATGATTTATCTTATCATAAATTGAGAAATAAAAAAACTCTCAATCTCATTTCACTAGATTCTATGAGGTTTCACAATATGTTGTTCTGTAGATATTTTCCATCTACAAGAAGTAATAATAATAATAATAAGAACATGAAACAGTGATACTGTACAAAAAAGTTTTCTAGCTTATACTTACTTACACATAATTGTTTTCACACTATAGAACTATACAACAACAACTTTGTCTGGCCCGATAGTAGGAATAATAATCATAATAGTGTTACATCTTATCATATCGTAATGTTAATGATATAGGTCTTGCAGTCAGTTACGATTTGAAGAGGGAAACAGGCAGGATGGCAGTTTAGAATTAAAGCAATGCACACTTTGGTTACAACTCTTTATGCACAAGACAACAGAGTCGGTGACACAGGACTCAAACCAATGGCCTTCACCTCTTTGAAGGTCACGGTGTCAAATGTCAACCATTTGAAGGTCAAAAGAATTAGGCCAATGACAAAATTGGGCTTCACATTTCCGGGTCGATCAAATGAGACTGCTGAATTATATATCCCCAACAGTTCATTCAAGACTGGGTACAATGGCAAGTATGCATGTACCTCTCTCTCTCTCTCTCTGCCTTTGAAAATGAATGTAACATGCAAACATGCCAAATCATTTATCCATGCCAGTGACTTAACTTTGTACGTAAATATTATCAGGTCATGACATAATTGAGTATCATCCATACCTATCAAAAGAACCCAAGGCTTTGCCTCTTGTAAATGAACTTTCAATAGCATTGTGTTTCATTTACAGTTGAATATTAAGGGCCATCAGGTAAATGACTGTTCTCTTTCAAAATGCTCATAAAGCCCAATATTTCCATTGCCAATGGCATAGTGTACAAGATTCTCTATAACAGCATGTTCGAACCGAGAAGAATATTCAATTCACTGGCTACAGCTCAAAGACCATTACTTCACCAAAGCTTCCAAGCACAAACAAAAATATTCCAGAAGAGGATTTGCAAAACATTTTTTTTTCCAATTCAACATCAGTCAATGACCAAGTAACTCGAAACTGTCTGCTGTTGTTAGAGGCATTGTGTTGACCCCATTTTATTTTTTTCCAGAAAATAATCTTAAAAAGCCCTTCAAGTATAACCTAGATTCCTTTGTTGCTGCTTCATTTGCCACTGGTACTTCTGGGGCTTCCACCTTTCCCCTTTTTTTTTATTATTAAATACATGCACTGAATATTCCATTCATTTGATACCCCCCCCCCCCCCTCATCCTTCCAAAGAGAAGATACCTTTCCAGATGAGCCAAAACTAAAACAATGTAGATTTCACAAAATTTCAAATTTTTTTTTATCTTACTCAATTTTGTAAAACTGAACCCTAAGTCAGTGTCTCGGCCCACCTTGCCATCATGCACCACTATCGCCTCCTATAATCAGTGCTATGAACAAAAATGATGGAAAGCGGGTGCCTTGACTTTATACCTAGTGAACAACCATACAAAAGCCTGCCATGCCACAAACTTGACTGTGACATCATCAATGTGCGAGTCTCTACAAGGTAAAAATTTCTATACACAAACAAATGTACATTGGCTGTATGCAATGGCAAACAAAGGCAGAGCAAGTTCAATGCAGCATGGGCAGTAATTCAAGCGAGCCAATGGAAACTTGTCCTTTGCCAAGATTTCATACTTTTAGAATTTCAAATATCACTGAAACCGAGCAAATGTGAAAGTGGCATTCCCACAGTTTCCAATCTATTGTGAAATACACATATCACTTAAGCTTAAAGGACTTAAACACTGCTCAACAACTATAGTCCTTTACCAGCCCCAAGCCTTAACATACTCGGTACATTACACAAGCAACTTAAAATAAACTTTTAAAAAGTTTTTTTTAGATTTAGAAATGAGACCCTATTGCACTATAGGAAAAGATCCTCCGTATCAAAACAAATCTCTCAAAAGATAATTCTTAATTTTTTTCTTGCTCTCTGTCTGCAATATTTTCTCAACTCGATCTTCTAGAGAGAAAAAAAAACACTTGGTGCACAAAGTTGGTTTTACTGAATCTGATGACATAACAAAACCTTCCACAGGAGTTACCTTTTACAGCCAGCAGTCATTTTTCACTGTGTGCTGGTAAGTAACTTTGAACCCCTGCACTCTTACAAGAGTGGTCATGCTGTTGACTAACCTAAAGCCTCAAACCTATAAATGAGTTAAAAGTTAAAGCAAGTGCTGACAGATCAAGATCCTGCCATATGTGACATAGCAGTAGCACCCCCTTCTCAAGGTCCCCGTGACCAGTGACCTTCACCCTTTATGCTCAAGGCAATAACCTTGACATGCCCTCGTCCCTGGCAACTACTGCTACAGAAATAAGCAGCACGTTTGCAGTCTCCGTTGAATATACTTTCAGAGGAGGGGCTTCCTTCCCTTTTGACAGCACAAGAACACTATAAACACACACACATGCCTGCTGACATACTGACTGACTTACAATTTAGTTACTAATGTTTGAAATGACTTGTTGTTCTGACTCCCCTTTGATGTGCCCTCCTCTTCCGCAGTAAGCTCACTACGGAGAAAAAAACAGATCATCATAAATATATAGAAACAGCCTTGCCATAGTTGATCTCGAGTCTTTTTATGTTGCTTTTTTTTTTAATGTCTTCTTTGTCTATTTTGGACTTCATGATGATGGAAATTTTTTTTAAAAATGTCTTTTATTCCTCCTTTTCTTCTTCATCTTGTTTGATATCTATATGTTTGTTTATTTCCTCAACGTCTGTGCGTCGTGCCTGGGGAGACTAGTTCCATATCTTAAGGAAACTGTCCCAGGAGCCTGTGGCTACAGCCATGCCGTCCTCTGTGACGCCTAGGCAACTCACACGATTGTCATGACCAGCCAGCACACCTGAAACAGTCATAAAAACGGGGTTCTTTATAAGACAGAAAAGGCCTCACAGTCCAGCAAACATATCATTTCTAAGGGAACCAAAAAGGTCTTCATTTGACTAAAAAGGTCAGGCAAAAAAATGAAAATAAAAAAAATTTAAGACCCACTTAATGAACTGTCATTAAGGAACAAACATTAATATTTAAATATCAAGATATTTTCAAAATTAATAGGTGCCCTTCACACAACTGGGCATAGACTATCACTTTCCATTAGGCATCAAATGATAATCTACAAATGCAACCACAATCACCACACCAAATGTACTCACCGGCTCTGTCTTGCCTCAAAGTATCCCAAACATTGCAGTTGAAATCATCGTAGCCGCCCAGTAGAAGTCGGCCACTCTTGGAAAAGGCAACTGACGTGATCCCGCAGATGATGTTGTCGTGTGAATACATGCCGATCTCCTGATCAGCACGAATGTCAAATAACCTGCATGTGGCATCATCCGAGCCGGTGGCAAAGGCATAGCCGTTGGGAAAATACTGAAGAAGATATTGTCATTATGTCAGGGAGCAGAGCATGATAAGATGGGAGGCCTGGGGAAAGACACTTGCCATTTTTTAATCCACTGCACCATTGCTGATGGCACAAATATAATTATGAAAGCAACCAGTCTAGTAACAAATAACTTTTCTCATTAATTTCCAAGTAAAAAGATGTTAAGAAGTACTGACTGAAACATTTAACTAGTACATGGAAATTAAAAAAAATGCACTTTTAAAATAAAAACTAAAAAGTCCAATTAGTTTTACTCACTGTGATGGCATTAATATCAGATTCGTGTCCTGTGAAAGTCTGGTGACACATTCCGTCTCTGGTGTCCCATAGCTGCAAGGAGAATAGAAGAAAACATCAGTTCATCTGTTGATAAAAGCCATGGTATGCACATGGAACTAGTACTCTACTTTCACAACTGGCCTTACTCTCAAAAGCAGTGTTGTAACATGTACTGTGTTGTGTGCGAGTTTTTGCCTTAAGTGTATCCTCTATTTTATAACTTTTTAATTTATTTCAATGTAAATGTAACAACGAGAGATCAAATTATTATTATTATTATTATTATTATTATCCACAAAAGGCTTTTAAATCACAGTGACTGACATTGCACATAAAAAATAAAATGCTTATTTTGGAGCACTAAATGTGAAGCACTACACGAGAAGCACAAGATTTAAACCTTCGGAGTGATCTCTTTTTCTCATTTTTATTGAACTCATAGTTGAAATAAACCAATGCCTAAAAAGGTACGAGAGAGATGAAGATGGACAAAAGCATTCAGATAGTATGAGCTCCTATCTTGTGTGATTCCATTTTCATCCTCTGTTTGAAAACTACAACTGGGTAACCTTAATATACAGCATTCACAAAGCTAAGAGGAATCCCCTTGTAAGTTGGGTACTATCATGGATGTAATTTGCCCAATTTTTTGCCGAAAACAATATCTCTGCTGTAATGAGTCCAATATAGCATCTCTTTAAACTGTTTAACTGCTACTATAGATATAGACAAGGATGTGGAAATATTCTTGTAGAAATAAACTTAAAACTGTTAATAATTGTATGTGTAGATATAGACAAGGATATGGTCAATAAATAGAGAATCTCTTTTTATTGATTTTCTTGGAACCATTTAACTGCTATTATAGATACAGACAGGGTACAGACAATACACATTCTCTTGGAAACATTTAACTGCTTTTGTAGATAAAGACAAGGATGTGAGCATTACATAGAATGTCCATTTTTAGACCTTCTTGGAACATTATATACAGAATATCAATTGACATATTCCCTAGAAATTGTTAAACTGCTATTGTTGTCTGTTGATATAGACAAGGGTGTGAACATTATAAATAGAATCTAAATTCATATATTCTCTTGTAAATGTTACACTGCTATTGTAGACATAGAAAAGGTGTGAAACATTATGTAAAAGTCTCCCTGTAGAAATCATCTCCGAACCGTTAACTCTGCCCAAGTGGAGGCCCACNTGTACTATGAAACATCATTTACTAAAGTATTACCAAGCTTGATTAATAATATCAATAATATATTAACTTTATCTTGATAGCACTGCCCCATACAATAAAACCAAATTCTGGGCTACTTTTGCCACGCAATCTACTTCAGTTCTCTTGATATTACAATTAAAACAAATTTTAGGGCTTCTTGTTGGCCGCGCAAGCTATGATTTATCTTATCATAAATTGAGAAATAAAAAAACTCTCAATCTCATTTCACTAGATTCTATGAGGTTTCACAATATGTTGTTCTGTAGATATTTTCCATCTACAAGAAGTAATAATAATAATAATAAGAACATGAAACAGTGATACTGTACAAAAAAGTTTTCTAGCTTATACTTACTTACACATAATTGTTTTCACACTATAGAACTATACAACAACAACTTTGTCTGGCCCGATAGTAGGAATAATAATCATAATAGTGTTACATCTTATCATACCGTAATGTTAATGATATAGGTCTTGCAGTCAGTTACGATTTGAAGAGGGAAACAGGCAGGATGGCAGTTTAGAATTAAAGCAATGCACACTTTGGTTACAACTCTTCTTGCACAAGACAACAGAGTCGGTGACACAGGACTCAAACCAATGGCCTTCACCTCTTAGAAGGTCACGGTGTCAAATGTCAACCATTTGAAGGTCAAAAGAATTAGGCCAATGACAAAATTGGGCTTCACATTTCCGGGTCGATCAAATGAGACTGCTGAATTATATATCCCCAACAGTTCATTCAAGACTGGGTACAATGGCAAGTATGCATGTACCTCTCTCTCTATCTCTGCCTTTGAAAATGAATGTAACTAAACATGCCAAATCATTTATCCATGCCAGTGACTTAACTTTGTACGTAAATTTTATCAGCTCATGACATAATTGAGTATCATCCATACCTATAAAAAAAAACAAGGCTTTGCCTCTTGTAAATGAACTTTCAATAGCATTGTGTTTCATTTACAGTTGAATATTAAGGGCCATCAGGTAAATGACTGCTCTCTTTCAAAATGCTAATAAAGCCCAATATTTCCATTGCCAATGGCATAGTGTACAAGATTCTCTATAACAGCATGTTCAAACCGAGAAGAATATTCAATTCACTGGCTACAGCTCAAAGACCATTACTTCACCAAAGCTTCCAAGCACAAACAAATATATTCCAGAAGAGGATTTGCAAAACATTTTTTTTCCAATTCAACATCAGTCAATGACCAAGTAACTCGAAACTGTCTGCTGTTGTTAGAGGCATTGTGTTGACCCCATTTAATTTTTTTCCAGAAAATAATCTTAAAAAGCCCTTCCAAATATAACCTAGATTCCTTTGTTGCTGCTTCAGTTGCCACTGGTACTTCTAGGGCTTCCCCCTTTCCCCTTGTTTCTTTTTTAAATGCATGCACTGAATATTCCATTCATCTGATACCCCCCAGCCATCCTTCCAGAGAGACTATACCTTTCCAGATGAGCCAAAACTAAAACAATGTAGATTTCACAAATTTTCAAATAAATTTTTCTATCTTACTCAATTTTGTAAAACTGAACCCTAAGTCAGTGTCTCGGCCCACCTTGCCATCATGCCCCACTATTGCCTCCTATAATCAGTGCTATGAACAAAAATGATGGAAAGCGGGTGCCTTGACTTTATACCTAGTGAACAACGATACAAAAGCCTGCCATGCCACAAACTTGACTGTGACATCATCAATGTGCGAGTCTCTACAAGGTAAAAATTTCTATACACATACAAATGTACATTGGCTGTATGCAATGGCAAACAAAGGTAGAGCAAGTTCAATGCAGCATGGGCAGTAATTCAAGCGAGCCAATGGAAACTTGTCCTTTGCCAAGATTTCATACTTTTAGAATTTCAAATATCACCGAAACCCAGCAAATGTGAAAGTGACATTCCCACAGTTTCCAATCTATTGTGAAATACACATATCACTTAAGCTTAAAGGACTTAAACACTGCTCAACAACTATAGTCCTTTACCAGCCCCAAGCCTTAACATACTCGGTACATTACACAAGCAACTTAAAATAAACTTTTAAAAAGTTTTTTTAGATTTAGAAATGAGACCCTATTGCACTGTAGGAAAAGATCCTCCGTATCAAAACAAATCTCTCAAGACAATTCTTAATTTTTTTCTTGCTCTCTGTCTGCAATATTTTCTCAACTCGATCTTCTAGAGAGAAAAAAAAAAAAAACACTTGGTGCACAAAGTTGGTTTTACTGAATCTGATGATATAACAAAACCTTCCACAGGAGTTACCTTTTACAGCCAGCAGTCATTTTTCACTGTGTGCTGGTAAGTAACTTTGAACCCCTGCACTCTTACAAGAGTGGTCACGCTGTTGACTAACCTAAAGCCTCAAACCTATAAATGAGTTAAAAGTTAAAGCAAGTGCTGACAGATCAAGATCCTGCCATATGTGACATAGCAGTAGCACCCCCTTCTCAAGGTCCCCGTGACCAGTGACCTTCACCCTTTATGCTCAAGGCAATAACCTTGACATGCCCTTGACCCTGGCAACTACTGCTACAGAAATAAGCAGCACGTTTGCGGTCTCCGTTGAATATACTTTCAGAGGAGGGGCTTCCTTCCCTTTTGACAGCACAAGAAAACTATAAACACACACACATGCCTGCTGACATACTGACTGACTTACAATTTAGTTACTAATGTTTGAAATGACTTGTTGTTCTGACTCCCCTTTGATGTGCCCTCTTCTTCCGCAGTAAGCTCACTACGGAGAAAAAAACAGATCATCATAAATATATAGAAACAGCCTTGCCATAGTTGATCTCGAGTCTTTTTATGTTGCTTTTTTTTTCAATGTCTTCTTTGTCTATTTTGGACTTCATGATGATGGAAATTTTTTTAAAAATGTCTTTTATTCCTCCTTTTCTTCTTCATCTTGTTTGATATCTATATGTTTGTTTATTTCCTCAACGTCTGTGCGTCGTGCCTGGGGAGACTAGTTCCATATCTTAAGGAAACTGTCCCAGGAGCCTGTGGCTACAGCCATGCCGTCCTCTGTGACGCCTAGGCAACTCACACGATTGTCATGACCAGCCAGCACACCTGAAACAGTCATAAAAACGGGGTTCTTTATAAGACAGAAAAGGCCTCACAGTCCAGCAAACATATCATTTCTAAGGGAACCAAAAAGGTCTTCATTTCACTAAAAAGGTCAGGAAAAAAAATGAAAATAAAAAAAAATTTAAGACCCACTTAATGAAATGTCATTAAGGAACAAACATTTATATTTAAATATCAAGATATTTTCAAAATTAATAGGTGCCCTTCACACAACTGGGCATAGACTATCACTTTCCATCAGGCATCAAATGATAATCTACATATGCAACCGCAATCACCACACCAAATGTACTCACCAGCTCTATCTTGCCTCAAAGTATCCCAAACATTGCAGTTGAAATCATCGTAGCCGCCCAGTAGAAGTCGGCCACTCTTGGAAAAGGCAACTGACGTGATCCCGCAGATGATGTTGTCGTGTGAATACATGCCGATCTCCTGATCAGCACGAATGTCAAATAACCTGCATGTGGCATCATCCGAGCCGGTGGCAAAGGCATAGCCGTTGGGAAAATACTGAAAACAATATCGTCATTATGTCAGGGAGCAGAGCATGATAAGATGGGAGGCCTGGGGAAAGCCACTTGCCATTTTTTAATCCACTGCACCACTGCCGATGGCACAATTATAATTATGAAAGCAACCAGTCTGGTAACAAATAACTTTTTTCATTAATTTCCAAATAAAAAATGTTAAGAAGTACCAACTGAATCATTTACCTAGTACATGGAAATAAAAAAAAAATGCACTTTTAAAATAAAACCTAAAAAGTCCAATTAGATTTACTCACTGTGATGGCATTAATATCAGATTCGTGTCCTGTGAAAGTCTGGTGACACATTCCGTCTCTGGTGTCCCATAGCTGCAAGGAGAATAGAAGAAAACATCAGTTCATCTGTTGATAAAAGCCATGGTATGCATGTGGAACTTGTACTCTACTTTCACAACTGACCTTACTCTCAAAAGCAGTGTTGTAACACATACCGTGTTGTGTGAGTTTTTGCCTTAGGTGCATCCTCTATTTTATAACTTTTTAATTTATTTCAATGTAAATGTAACAACGAGAGATCAAATTATTATTATTATTATTATTATTATTATCCACAAAAGGCTTTTAAATCACAGTGACTGACATTGCACATAAAAAATAAAATGCTTATTTTGGAGCACTAAATGTGAAGCACTACATGAGAAGCACAAGATTTAAACCTTCGGAGTGATCTCTTTTTCTCATTTTTATTGAACTCATAGTTAAAATAAACCAATGCCTAAAAAGGCATGAGAGAGATGAAGATGGACAAAAGCATTCAGATAGTATGAGCTCCTATCTTGTGTGATTCCATTTTCATCCTCTGTTTGAAAACTACAACTGGGAAACCTTAATATACAGCATTCACAAAGCTAAGAGGAATCCCCTTGTAAGTTAGGTACTATCATGCATGTAATTTGCCCAATTTTTTTTGCCGAAAACAATATCTCTGCTGTAATGAGTCCAATATAGCATCTCTTTAAACTGTTTAACTGCTACTATAGATATAGACAAGGATGTGGAAATATTCTTGTAGAAATAAACTTAAAACTGTTAATAATTGTATGTGTAGATATAGACAAGGATATGGTCAATAAATAGAGAATCTTTTTATTGATTTTCTTGGAACCGTTTAACTGCTATTATAGATACAGACAGGGTACAGACAATACACATTCTCTTGGAAACATTTAACTGCTTTTGTAGATAAAGACAAGGATGTGAGCATTACATATAATGTCCATTTTTAGACCTTCTTGGAACATTATATACAGAATATCAATTGACATATTCCCTAGAAATTGTTAAACTGCTATTGTTGTCTGTTGATATAGACAAGGGTGTGAACATTATAAATAGAATCTAAATTCATATATTCTCTTGTAAATGTTACACTGCTATTGTAGACATAGAAAAGGGTGTGAAACATTATGTAAAATCTCCCTGTAGAAATCATCTCCGAACCGTTAACTCTGCCCAAGTGGAGGCCCAGGTGTGCTGCAGAGAACAGCACTTACACAACATGTACCATTTTTGCCCTCTGTAGGTAAAAGCTTCCTGCACATGAACTACTACCCAGCTGTTACTATCTCCATTAAAGACGTACAGTTAAGACTTCCCCTCACCAAGCACCTGCCTGCTTATAAACTCCGATTACTCACCAAACTCAACCAATCTTGCTTAAAAATATTTTCACAATAGAGATAATTGGTTGATTTATAAAATTTCAAAAGTCAAGTGAGGATATTGTCATATACCAAGCTTTTGGTATGAACAAATGATTTTATGTCTGAAAAAATTAGACATTAGATTAATAGGACGAGTTGTCTGAAAATTTTGAGTAATTGCCCTACCTTTTTTTTTTCCAGAAAATATCTGACAAAATAAGACATGACATACAGTAGAGCTTGTAGACATGTGAGAAGTGTGGAGAAGTGAGGCAGGTGCTATAAAAAGATGTGCATCAGATGCATACATGGATTTCTTTATATTATCACTTAACATCCTCAAGACTGAGGAGATTTTTTGCATTTTTTCCCCTTTGTAACGAGCCAAGCAAACATGCAAACTTTCTTACACAAAGGTAAAAAATTATCTGTAATATATATTTCCTGAGGTGGAAATAAGGCAAATAAAATACAGGAGATAATTCCTACTCTCCCTCCCCCTTCTACACACTCACATTTTCACTCCTATTTTTTTTTTCTTTTTGAAACTCATTTGCACACAAACCAAAATATCCTCCAAAAGAAACAAAATTTGCAGCCCAGTTCGCTGTCAGCCAATGCCTTCCACTTTAAACAGAGCCATTCAAAATCTCAGATGCCCCACCTTCCAAGCGTTGGTACGTAGGCGTTCATAATGTGAAAAGTATTGATCCATATAAAGGTCATTAGTATGACTGAATGCACTGGAGACATAGCAAAGGGGGCTCTCTGCATACATTTCACAATTACCAGTCCCATAGTTTTACATGTACCATACACACATCTGATTATCAATCTCCTTTGTTCTTTCCCTTCTTACTTCCTTTTACCATATAGACTTACATATTATTACTCTTAAATGAACATTGATTAAAAAATGATTCCTGTTATGCAAGCTACAATAATCTTTTTTATATTCATTAATTACTCTCTAAATTTTAATCCAAGGTAAAGATCCACGGTAAACCACATCTTCACTCACACATGCCCCCCTATAATACATATTCATTCATATTGACAGTGTAAATCGACACATTTTCTGTGCTTTTGTGTACAAAACCTTGGTTTGTGCCTTATGTACACTTTCCCAGAACCTCTCAACAGAATTGATTTCCTGCAGTCTTGATTATTACAAATGCATAAGGTTACTGTTCTATATACTCCTCATCCCATATACTATGCAGCCTACACCATACTATTCAGCCTATATCTGACAATGACAATTAGTCAGGGGAAGAGCTACTAAACAAAAGCAACCAAACTTTATCCTGTGTTTTGTAGTCTGCAAGGTAAATAGGTCCATCTTTCTTGGACTGACCCTTCTTACTTGGCATGAAGCATAATGCTCAAGGCCACCAAATAAATCTTTCAACAATTTTTCTTAATTAGCAGTAGATGTGGTAAATTTTAAAGAAACCCAGAGGGCTAAGACATTTTTTGGGCTCAAGTGTTCCCCCATCAATATGTATAACACCAGTTCTATTTCACACAAGAATATCGCAACTGCACATGACATTTTATAGTAGACTGGCTTTCTGCCTTATTAATATTGAACCAGCATAATATGAATCAAACCCTAACATATAGTCTGTAGCAAGGTTTGAGAGCCATCAAGAGAGAAACAGCCTGATACAGAGATCAATATATAGGTTTCCTATAACAACTGGAAATGCCCGTCATTTTTTCCATTGTTGAAATAGCATTGATCAGCAGCATTAAAAAGCTGGTATGTTTACACCCTTTTCCCCTGGGGAAACAAACCTGGTCTGCTCTAGTTATTAATTCATTTTATGTCTCTGGTGTGCATGTGATTTCACTTTAAATAACTTTGCTTTACTAGACCTTGTTCATTTTTTAAAACCATTTTTATTTAGTAATGCTTATTTCTTTTATTTACAGGTACTCTCATAATAATTATAATACGAACAATAATAATTATACATTATGAAATATATTTTTTCCCACATAAATAATAATCTTATAAATTAGTTGTGCAAAAAGAAAGAAATGGTTTATATTTTCACACTGACAGTAATTATCGATTATCTTGCCCACCCAAACATCCAGTCTTGGAAGTGCAGATCTGCTTTTTGGCCATTTTTTTCCCTTTTTTTTTCTCTTTTAAACTAAACAGATCAAATATCTCTCTCTTCAACACATTACTAACACTAGAATGGGCACTCAGTACTAAAAACTAGATTTGTGCCAAAACTGGTCCAAATCTTCTATCATGTATAGTAAAACAGCTGCCAAAGCTTCTGATCTAGGTTTGATGTATCACACCAACTAGAATATTTGCAAGAGGTGCCCAGGACAGCAAAGCACTTATGTTGGCCATTGTAGAAGGCTTTGGCATTTGGTAACTAGATAATAGACTCGATGTGTTCCGATGGGACATATATGGGACGAGAGGGAAAAAAAAAAAAAACAGAGCAGTGGAAAGCAATTGAAATCTCTGGATAACATGATCATTTTTCTATGCAAAAATACCATAAAAACAGACAAAGAGACAGCTTCAGAAAATTGTAAAATTCAGCTGGGCATGGGGTACGACTTTCCTGCTTAGCTTAATGTATTAATTTTTGACTCATTCTTTCCCCACTGACAAAATTGGCAGGAAATCTTGAACAACACATCAGAGGTAATGGATTACTCTATTCTTTTCTATAGTCTATAAATTGTTAATTTTTAAAAACTGAAAACCACAGAGATTTTCCATTACCTTTATCTCTGCCCCTTCTCATGCATAAAATATTCCTAAAACTGAATAAACCAGCATTTCCAAGACCTACCTCGACTGATGAGACACAAGCGCCACCTACATATCTCAGCTATTAATCTCTTGCTATCATTTCAAAACTTAACAGAGGGATAGCAGAGAGGGGTTTCTTTTCCACTAAAATAATAAACCAAGTCAAAAAATCTTCACCCATAACCTACCTTAGCTGATGCGTCACATGCACCAGATACAAAAGTCCTCATGTCTGGTGCCAGAGACAAGCTCATGACGTCTCCAGTGTGCCCTGCGAACGTGGTTGTGTTCTGACCTGTCTCTATGTCCCACAATGCACTGAAATGTACAGAAGTTTGATGTGAACACAAGGGTGCTGCAAGAGCCATGTACTTAGCAAGGAGTGTTTTTTTTTTTTTTTTTAAATCTTCTGCTGAGTCATTGCATACTTTTTTTTGCTACAAATTGGAAACAAATCATTCCACTGAAAGTTCATGGTAATTCTTATAATGGCTGATACTAAAAAATATGAATGCAAACTTATTCTCCATCAAATAATTTACGTTTAGATACTTATTCATAAACATGCATTCAGGGATTATACACAATCAAGAAAGAAATCAGATATACAATTTATTATCTTTGTATTAATACAAAACTTAAACTGAAGGTAAATCTCCATCTGATTCAATATTGCACTATTTCGCAAGATACATCTCATTTCTCAAAATCCCCCCCCCCCCCTCCTTTTTAATTCTTGTTTAAAAGTTAAACGCACAAGAACCTCTCCACAAGAATCACACCACTCACCAAGTCATGTCTCCAGAACTTGTGACTATTTGATTATCGTCAATAAATCGACAACAGGATAGGTAGCCAGTGTGGCCAGGTAATTCTCTAGTCACTCGCACGTTGCCTTCCCTCGTCTTAAGACTGTAGATGGAACAGATGTTGTCTAGGCCGCCGCATGCAACGAAGCTCCCTGACGGGGCATAGGCACAAGTCATTACCCAGCTGGAGCGCAGAGGTATAGCATGGACCTGGAAATAGAACGCCTTGCTGCAGTATACGGGCGATACTATTACAACAAGCCTAAAAATGTTACACCAAAGAATGCCAGAGAGATTATGAATGATATTATCATGAAAAAAGTTAGTATTTTCACAAAGAAGCGATTACATTTAATGTGCTTTATTATTAAGAGGTGTTGTCGAAAAACTTACTCATTGGCAGCAGTATACAGGCAATACTAGTACAAGTGAAAAATCTTACACCAAAGAATGCCACAGCATGTATGATGTATGACTAATATTATCATAAAAATCAAAAATCTTTACCAAAAGATTACTGTTAATGCACTACATTATTAATGTATATTGTCAAAAATTATCTCGATGGCAGAAACTTAGAAGTTATTTCCAGATGTAATTGTCTCAAACCATAATTAACAGTTGGTAGTATAAGGGTGATATCATTAAGTTGTCAGCAAAAAATCTTATCGGAAAGGTAGCTGTAGTAAAGAGGTTATTTTTATACAACCAGGTTGAAAATCCTCGCCGATAGATGGCTGTAGTGTATGCATGAAACAATACAAGTTGTCAAAAAGTCAATTGAGATGGCTTCAAGTTTCACAGTAATACCAATATAATATTGACAAGCTTCCCACGTGTGTGTGTGTGTGTGTGTGTGTGTGTGTGTGTGTGTGGGGGGGGGGGGGGGGATTCCCAAGTCATCTTCACAAAGGATTATTTTAGATTTGAAATCAGTCAGATTATAAACACCTGAAGACACTTAATCTATCTTTACTTAACAATTTGCACTAGCTTAAAAAATCAGTTAACTTTTTTCCCTTTTTTTTTTAAAACTAAAATCTTAGGTGAAGGACCTAACCCATCTCAGTCAATATACATACCGATCATAGTGTGTGTGGACAAGAGCCATTTTGTGGTACAAAAATTAACACCACAAGCTAGGGGATATATTACGAGAGCCACACTTCCTGCCTCGGTGACACCAGATGTGATTTACAAGGATTAAACTTTATCCGAGACATCAGTGTCTCTTTTCTCAGACTTCAGCCAGGGCTTCCAAGTCACAGGGGTCAAGCGGTAATAACAATTTGCACATCATCCAGCTTATTCTTCTTCACAGATATGACAGTGGACTTCTCTGGAAACTATTCCAGAAAATGCAAACAGCAGAGGCCATTAGCTCTATGTGGGGGAATGGAGGATATGAATACAACGCCCTAAACATCCGTTTTCCAAATTTCTTACTCATTGACACCTCAAGGTTAGAAACTGCAACCACACACACCCTTTCTGACTCTTCAGCATTCCTTCGTGATCTGAAAACAAGCTCAGATATCAGAATAATAGCTTTCTGAAGTTGCAACCACACACACCCTTTCTGAAGTATCTTTTTTAACTCATTTTTGTTCATATTTCACACGTGAATCCACCTTCACGTGCACTGGAAAAAACATCACCACCTGTCATTTCAACCAATAATCAATGGAAACAATATCATTCAAAGGGGGAGGGGGGGGGGAATGTACTTCAATTAGGCACCACTTTACAAATCACACACTTCCTTCAGGACCCACCCACCCACCCCCTTCCATACACCACCCACTTTACACCCAAATGCATATTGATACATTCAGCCAGATTCAGCACAGTGGCAACAATCTACAAAGCCTTGTGATAATCTGAGAAATTTTCCTAGAAATTGAGAAACACTTTCCAGGAGCTTTATTGATCTGTTTTTGTATTGCACACGCCATAGTGCTGCAGACAGCAGTCACACAGAGACCAAGGCAGTCCTTCTGAATTGGTCTGAATACAAGTCAGTCACAGCAACGAAGAAACTTGCCAGGATGGCAACATCTTATGTAATCTACTGAGTGAAATTTCACCCGTAGCAGTCGTCTGCATTTAAAGCAGTAGGGATGTTGAGATGGGCTTTGCAGCATTTAGACTCGATTACAATCCAAAACAGCCTAGTGTAAACACGAGCACAACGTGTAGGACACTGAAGTCGTCAATGTTGTTATTGTACTCCATCTCATGCATTAAGATTAGACTCAATCTCCCTGCTTACTTTTATGTCCTACCACGCAACATATGCTTTTGTGTGATTATTAATTTGTATTTGGTCTGTGTTTGTAAACAGGTTTTACCTGGAATAATAGATGAAACCCTGGACTTACGGGTTTTTGTTATCAAGTTACATTTATCATTGAAAAGTGGTGGAAATTAGAGGCAGTAAAAACATGAGATATCAAGTAATAAAGGCAACAGCTAGGAAAGAAAGGGACATCTATGTGTCTGATATCAATGCCCTGGTGCCTTATTTTTTGAACTGTCATTCTCAGCATCGATTCAAGTAAGTCGACTAAACATTTCAAATGGGCCGTTCTGACATCAACCAAGCTTAATTTTTAGTCATTTGCAGTAATTTTCTGCACATTTTGCTCACTTTAGGGTTCTACACAGGGAAGTGGAAGGTTATTATCCAGTTTAACACCACCAACGCAAGTGTAGATCTCTGCTCACTACAAAGTGTGCTAAACATCAATGACGTCTATGCTGTAACAAGCATTAGAATGGGCGTAGATGTACACTTCCACCAATGGCGTAAACACCGTCTGTCAACCCCCCGCTACCCATGTTTACCACTTAATCACAAGGTGAAGAAAACGACTGTGAAAGACCAGTAGTTTTCATTAACTTCAGTTTTGGGCTCCGGAAAGTGATTTTTAACCTATGAGAGTTGGAAAGTATAGACATTTTCACAAAGTTATCACAAAAAGACCATTGTGATTAAAAATAATCATAACACCAAAACTGATGTCCTCCTCACACAGTATTTCTAGCAAGTTGCTGGAACAGCAGTCTGTTTTTAAATGCTTTACCCTACTGGCATTTCAGGCTGCATGGGAATAGTAATATACTGACCCATGCAAGATACAGTCGTCAGTTATTGAACACATTAACAAAGATTTACTGGCTGTGCTCAGATGCGACAGGCCAGGCGTGGGACTAAGCAGTAGTTAGGGCAGCACGCTGGAACAGTGTATGTAAATAGAGCCTATGTTGTGAAGTAAGAAGGGCCATGTAAACAGCAACATGGACTGGGAGAAAGCCACCCTGGGAACGGCAAATTAAGAGGTGGAAAGCAAACATCAGCGAAACTGATGACAAGGCACTCAAATACACCACACTATAGTAATTTCCTTTTAGCCAGGGATATTATTTCTCAGTTCTCTCATAATACAACAAAGCTATGAGGTATGGCAAATTTATAAGGGTGAAAGCGACATGTCAATAAACAAGAGGTTGCTTAGGAAAGTACAATCATACATATAATGGAGATGTTTTGTTGTTTACTGCCAACAAGCTGTTTTGATGAGATTTTAGCACTACACTTTTTGTGTTTCAAGTCAAGTCAAAGGAACCCAGTACAACCCATCTGAGGAAACAACCGAATTACAATTAACCAACTAACCACTAAAAGCCATTGAAACAGCATCCAAATTATAAACTGGGACGGTCTAAAAAAGTCACATAAGCGATGTAATTAGTAAGACTCTACACCTTTAACTGGATTATAACCGATTTATCTTGAGCTAAGATCTAAGTCCTGTGTTAAAGTTGACTTAAATATTAGTCTAAAAGTCCAGACCAGGTTTCATAAGTGAAACCCAACTCTAGTACTCAGCAGAATAGTTCAGCCATGTCTTTTCCAATTTGGGTGAGAAAAATTAAAACATTCTAATTTTTTGTTACTTCTGCTGATAAAAAAATATTATATATAAGCAAGAATCTACTTGGAATTTCAACTCAAGATCCAGTAACATCAGAGTGGCTGAACCAGGTCTTAACATTTTAACATTTAACTAACAACAGCAATAAACCATAACAGTGACATAAGACGAAAAAAATGTGACAGCACACAAAGACAATAACTATAACAAGCATAATGCACAGCCAAAATCCCTCTGAACATGCTGTTAATAAAGCAAAAACATACACTACGAGTTCTTTAAGTAGTTAAACTAAAAAAACAATTGTTAGAGATTCAGGAAAGGTTTCAAAGTTATAAACTCCAGAAAAAAAAAAAAAATTAAGCAGCACAGCAAAATTTATGCAATACCTTTATGCTAAACATCAAATGCAAAATGGACAATGTGGACATTATTCTTGAAAGTTTCCTTCAATAGGTCTGAAAACTTTTAATAATATCTGGCCAAAAATGCTGTGCTCAAGTGATCCCAGAGTGGTATGATCAAACACCAACTTCATTGGTGGACAATTTAAGAACGACCGAAGGCAGACATACAAACTAATCAGGCTAACAAACTAGAGTGGACATCTGCAAAGGTCAAGGTCACCAATAACATAATTAGGTCAAGATCAAGTCCCAAAGAACCATCTGACATTAGTCTTGACTGAATTTAAGTTAGCTGAGAGCAAATAAGCACAAAGGATATATCCGTTCCCAAAATGTAGTTCAATTTGTCTATATTTTCCTGCTTGTGGTTCCTAGCTTTCTAGGTCCAGAAAAATAAGCTTTGTTGTACACAGTTGTCCATGCCATTTTCTTTCTTTTTTCTTGTCATTTATTTTTTTCCACACGATATGTTTATGATGTTGGTTCAGGTGTATTGATGTTATTTACTGTGTGCAAACAAATATAACCACATTTTGTTCATTGTGATATTACTGCAAGTTTATCTTGTAAGCTTTCATTTACAAGTATGCAGTTTATATATGCCTACCTTATTTGTTGTATAACCATCCCATACAATTAATTTACCATCTTGAGAAGCTGATACTAGATTTCTGTAATAAAGACAAACAAACATTTAGTCTACTAGAATCTATATTCCATGCAGGGGGCTTTCCAAACACAGGCCTCATTCTGGATGCTATAATTAAGGTGCATAATAGCACCCAGGATGAGGCACTAAAAAATCTACTGTATCATCCTACTTTAGCTATTTGCATCTATTCAAAGAGAGGAAACTTTTTTCACTAGATTTACTTTTTTTTATTAAAATCACTAGATATATCCACAATTTTTTCTTTTGTGAAATTGCAAAACTGGATCTAGTCAACAACATGCATTTTTATTTCACAAATTGGGTGAATTTTGTTTCAAACACACAACAAGTCTGCTGCTGCTAAACTAGAGATAATACAGCAGTATTTAAACAAACAAACAAAAAAAAATTGAAGCTACTGTATTGTACATGGCCCCATGTATTCAAAATGGCAGTCAAAAACAAAATGGTCTACTGAACTTTTTTTAAATACATGAAAATACCAAATCCATATTTCTTTTGATGATGACTTTGCTCTTTAAACTAAATGATCCAGTCACCAGATATTTCCATAATCGAGTTTTTTCTGCACCTCAGTCCATCATCAAATGTTTCAAATCATTTTGGGAGATTAATTGCCATTTTTATCGAAACTTGTACAAACAGTAGTCTTGCAAGTGCAAGTTTTGCATTCTCAGAGCCGAGGAACCTCACAGGCTGAAATGAGTAGCTGGCAGAAAGGTATGGAACCAGTTTTATACATGAGTGAAATTCAAACCGAGATGTGACAGGTAAACATTGGGCGTGTGTGGCGTTCATAATTATTCTGTACCAGTACAAATAAAAATTGACAACATGGAATTTTGACCAAATTGAGAGGGAGTACATCAACTAGAGACCATTTCTAGAACCATTTCTATTATCTATCTTACTGTTTCACTAGCAAATGTTTCATTGTGCATTTTAAGCATTAATGGATTGAATTTTTTTAAAGTATATGCTTAAACATTTGCAACTATGAACTAAATGGTTCTTTCTAATTTGTTACCAAATACATAACTAATATGAACAGTAAACACAAAGAAGAGCTAGGGTTTCATTTGCCTTCAACCAACAAGCGATCAAAACTGGTTCTCATTCCATTCAAACCACCAACTCCCCAACAGATAGCCTGCCATTCCTTAGCCATGACTTGACAAGGCTCTAGAAGAGGATAAAAATAATTGTATAAAAAACCAAAGAACATATAACTTGCCTGTTGGTAGCTCCACTGTGTATAGAGATGGAAGAGAGCATACGAGTGTGGAGTCAGTGTATATACATATATATTCATATTGCAGTAAAATTTCATATATATCAACTCAACAAAGTCGGCAGTCATTTGCATAACCTGAGTATCACATACAGTACTTGGGCTCACTTAAAATTTCTTGGATATAACAGATTTTTGGAACAAGACTAGGAGAAAGAAGATATTTCACGACCAAATTTGATAGATTTAAGGAATTTTTAGTTCCTTACTAAAAAAAATATTTTTCTTGCATCCACAATCAGTTATATGTGGCATAAATTTTATAAATATGAGAGAAGGAATGAAAATTACCACACTAACCACAAGTTCATATTAACTCTTAATTTTTTTTCTGACAATATCCAGTGGGGAAAAATTTTTGACTGACAGCTCAAAAGCATATCTAGATTGTTTATTTGCCTTAAAAAAAAAAAAAAAAAAAAAAAAAAAAATACTCTAGTGAGCCCAATAAAATACCAGTGCATGGATGAATGTGAAGGAAAAGCTGTACATTTATAGCAGAGTTTAACTGACACAATGCATCAACAAAGCAGTCTTTGATGTCTCTTCCAATATGGAAATTGAGATCATAAAAAAAAAATACACAAGTTTTACAACCAAAGCCGATTCGGAAACTTAAAGTATCCATTCAAGTGTCTTTATTTAACTGATTGGAGAAATGATTCATGAGTTCATGCTGGTATCAAAGATAAAATATTTTTAAAAGGGTCATTCTGAAAAAAAACAAACATTTAAACATATCTAAAATAGATAATTTCATATCTGACTTTCAATCCATACAAACGCCAACATACTTCTGCTGGGCATATTTAACCATACTTTCTCTCCTGAGAAGTTCCACTTTAGTGAATCTATGTCTCCTCAATATATCTGAGGTTTTCCCAAACTTTGGCCATCAAACTTACAATTAGGCCAACAAATATGCACACAGACCCCCCCCCTTTCCAATACACACACACACGCACACATATATCCACACATACAAATATACCTCACCTTGAATCTGTCGCCCAATGCATGGCATAAATTTTTGCAAGATGTCCACGCAGGGTGCGCCGCGTACGCATTTGTATCCTGCCGACGGGTTCCACATTGGCAGCTGCTTGTGCAAGAGATGTGTCGCAAGCATTTTTTCTAGCATCCTGAAAGTAATCGTGTGAAATCAAAGTTAAAATATAATCCTTTAGTTTCATATGAAGAATAAATAAAATGTGTACTTTTTGCTTTTTGAGCAGTTGGTTTTAGAATAAAAATTAATAAGCTGATGAAAAATGCCGGTGGAAGGAAAAGTTTAAATTGTTTCTCTTTGTCAATTTTCTATGCTGATGCTGAATATTGTTGTATTTTTAACAATTAACTTTGCTCTGCAAAATATCGCCTTGCTCAATTTGGACATATTTTTCTTGCAAACAAATACATTATCTTTTTTACAATTATTAAGCAAAAACTTATCTTATTACTATTCAAAACCATTTTCCTATTATGAAAAACACAGTTGCAAGACTTTCTGCATTAAAAAAAAAAAAGAAATAGCACCTTATTTTCACAATATATCCGATCTGCCAGGTTCTACAATACCCTCCAGTAAAAATCATTTTTTCTCTGATATATGCAGCTTTCATATAAACCCTTAACTTAAGCACTGCTTTCTTAGTCTATATATATATATTGTCCTTGTATGGTTACACAGCTATAATTTCTATCAATATTCTCACATGGAGAACCATTGATTTCTTGCTCTAATGCATTAAGGGCCTTATGTACGTCATCTGTGAGTCAGCGTGGACGTAATGTTGATAAATCATGCATTGACAGTGTGTCGGTAGAAGTGCTTCTGTTGATTAGGATTGCCCTCGATAATTATAATAATTCATCAATGAGCCCAGCAAAGCCATGAACTTCTGTATAAAAGTCAGTTTTGGTGACTAGTTTTGTTTTAACCAATAAGGTGAAGCATTTTGTATGCAAGTGACAAGCCTCAACTAAGGAATTATGAAAAACCTTATTTTTGCAAAAGCCAGGTTTTCAATACTGCAGATGTCTATAGTGGGAATCATCAGAAATAACCAAAATTCCTTCAAACTTTGTATTAAATCAAACAAGGTTTTTCAGAAATGGACAGGAATGTGTCAGAAATAATTGCAAAACAGTGAGTGCATCCAAGAAAAAACATTGATTTTATAACACATCCATTTTATAATTTTCTGCTTCTGTACAATTAGATATTTGCACAACTGTATGTATTCACCATGTTTGGAACAGTTTTTCAGCTACTTGAAAAAAACGTCTAGAAAATATAATTTCATCTTAATTGATTAAAGGTCAGCTTCATCTTGTGCAGATTCTTGTCTGTTTTCTAGTCTCATGACAACACGCAGCACAGCACCTTTGCTCGTTTTATTTATTAACTTGTTACTAAAATTTCTATGACAATGATAAGTAATATCCTATGTTGCAGGATATCCAATTTTAGTGCAATTTTATCTGATTCGAAAAAAAAAGTAAAATGTTTTTGCAGCACGCAACTTCATATACTACTAGTATTTGACCAAGAAAAAAATTTATGTATCCATTACTTCAATCAATTTTCCTCCCAAAAATGTCTTCATATTCTTCTCTATTATCAGCAAACTTGATTGACCAAAAGAATTTTTTTCTTTTAATATAAAATAAGCAGCCACAAGCACCTCAAAAAGTATGGATAATTTGGCCAGCTTTCATCAGGGTCTCTTGGCTGTACAAATACAAGACATTTTCTCTTCTTTCTACTTCTTTGATGAAAGAGAAAGGATTCTTGACGTCCACACCATAAGAGTGCATTCCCAGAGATTTAGATTGATCCATCCGGATCGACCTAACTCCCTGGGGGTTCACGCTAAATTGCAGTCAGTCGAGCGCTCACGGTAGTTAATTACCCCCTTACAGCTTTTAGTAGGCGGGACAGACGCTTAAGCCGGCTAAACTGACAGTAATCTAGTGAGACTCCCCACAGGGATAGATCGATCTAAAATCTATGGGAATGAGGTCTAAGTCTCAAAACAAATTAAACCAATGTATTCCTATAATCTACTACCATTCCGCATATTAATATGACATCAATGTGCTCTCAACAACCTCCAGGATATCGGAACGGGAAGGTAAGCAGCTATATGGTTCACGTTTTGTAGAATGGCGCTTGTGCCAGCTAATTTTATATTTGTGCTATCAAATTGTGGCTCTAGTTGTTAATTTGGGGTTTCAAGCTCACAAACCCGAGGCTCCAGCTCGCAAACATCTTTTTTAGGCCTGTTGGATATAAGCCCAGAGCATCCCACGTCCAAAGACATCAATAAATGTTATGATATAGATTTTACACAGAAAAAATTAAAGATGAGAGGTTTAGAAACAGAAAAACAAAATAATTAACAGTCACCACTAATTGTTAAAGCATAATGATTCCACTTAATTCAATGACAACTTTTTGAACTCACCCTAATTTGGTTTTTTAGCTGCTCTGCTTCCTGACGAAGCTGTTCCAGCTCACTCATTGTGTACTTCTATGTTATATGTTTATATATTTATATATATGGACCTGAAAAATACAAATAAAGATTTGAACACAAGGTACAAAAGGTATACCACATTCATTGGGTATGTGTAGTTTTCAAAACATGCAAAGAAACATTTTCTTCACCTATTGTACATGAGGCTAGCAAATATAGAAATAAAAAATAAAACACAGAAAACGTTGTGTGTAGTGAACATATGTGGAACTGGAGAAAAAATGGCTGAATTCTTACTGGCATTCAGCTGAATTTTTCTGCCAACCCAAGTTCATCTACCATAAAAACTATTAAAATTTTTTGAAATACATATCAACTATAGTATTGGGCCTAGATTCCATCTGTTAACATTAGCTAAGGAAATACATAGTGGTGATTGCTGTGTTTATAAATATACAGATATCTGTTAAGTAAGCTCACTGCCAGACATATCAATCTAGACTTTAAACATATATTGATTGTCTGCCCAAGAACTAAGTCAGATAAAGTATTATATAGATCTGGGTATATCAAACAAACTTGCATGGTTACACCGTGGGACTATGATGAGTTGGGTACCCCATGATGCTATCCCAGTAATTAATGACTTTTTCATGCATTTTGATGAAAAAATTGAAATGAAATGGGGTGGGGCAGGACCACAGGACAATTTGCACTACACTTGCACTGTATAAGGTGAATATATGAAAAAAAAAAAAAAAAAACGCAAGCCAACTGCGTTTCAGTTTTAGCGATTTGGCCATATTGGCAAGTGTTAGCACTACCCCAGCATCTACCATATAAGAATCACCATCGTTTACGTATTCTATGTTTATCACATTTAGTGAAAGTAACCAATTTTGCTTTCATCCTGCAACTACTATTCCAAATAGGAAATATAAGATGCTTCACCTACACTGTTTTGCTCTGCAAAACAAACAGATACAAAAGAACAGCACACACCAATTTTCAAGTAACCTGCATGATAAGCCTTGCCAAACTGGTCATTTAGTAATCATATAGATATTTGGGAGTTTCAGCCTCAATGCCAGCAAGATAAAAAGTGAAAACGGCAATTTATACACATGTCATGACAGGTAAAACTGCAGTCTGAACAATGTATTAAAGGGATAATAACTCTTTGTATGAGATCTATATTTCATAATAAAAAACATTGTGAACAACTCATAGAAATATAATATATTCTGTTTTACCATAAAAACAGCAGTTATAGCTATTATTCTGATATCTGAGCTTGTCTTCAGACCACGTGACCTCCACTGATAGCTATACTCCACTATAATCTCTTAAGAGATTTTAACAAAAAACCAAACTTTTTAGAAAAAAAAACAGGGACTAACTTTGAATGTAAAAATGGATTCATTAACCATTGGTAAGTATGGGAAAATTGTTGTTTACTCCAGGTAAATTAATTTTTTGTCCAAAACAAAGAGTTTCTATCCCTTTAACTTTTTCTCCAAATCATCAACTGGGGTCTTAACAATATATTAACTTATTTATCCAAAAATTTAGTTTACTTTAAAAAAAGATGTGGCAAAAACAGACATAAAACAATCTTAATTGTTATCAGCAATGGCAAAAGAGGATGATTTTTTCATCTGAACCATTTACAGATCACTAAATGGTCTTAACCATACTGTAAGTGAGAAATAAAGATTAGACAAATCACAATTTAATCACTACTGAAATCAAGTAAAAAATTTAAGGGTATTTTTATTATAGGGTGGCATAACTGAAATTACTTTATAAAATATAAAGAATAACTGAGATTTGAATTTTTGTTGTGTAAATAAGATCACTTGAATGGATGTGAACAAGAGATGAGCGTGCTTTATCCAATACCAGTGCCAATGTAGCCATCTACAAGGGAAGAACACCTGCCAACAAGTAAACTATATGTTTTTTAATGAGATTTGGAACCCAGAGTATAGAACTGATCCAAAAATATAACTTATATTCTGCTTTAACAAAATTCAGAGGTGAGAATATAAAAGAATGCTCCTAGGTGAGAAATTGGGTTAATCCTAAGAGAAGGTATCACTTTTTTTTTTCAAGCAATATGCTATAGTAACTTGCTACACCACAGTCACCACACGTGCATAATTTCATGGCAAGGAAGTGTAAATGTTTATATCCAATTTCTTCCCCTTGTTAATGCAAACACTCCAGTCAAATTGCAAGATTAATCAAATTTCAGAGCTTTAACTGTGCCTGGGATTGTGAATTTTTTATGGTAAATAGTGGTATTTTTTACTAAACATAATATTGAACTTGTACAAAAAGAGGAGGCAAACGGTATTGTCAGTAGAGAACTACATGATATCTATAGCACTCTTGTAGAATACAGAACTTGTAATAAAATCCCCAGGTATGTTATTTACCATGTAAAATATATGACTATTGACTCGGTCAAGATAATTGATACAGTTCTTATATATAATGCATAAGTGGTAGGACTTTCTCGATGTGTACTGAAACTAAGTCAGATAAAGTATAAAATAATACCTGTTCAAAATTCAACTAGCTGTAACTTTACATTCCATTGATGAGAATCAGAGATATATGATATGTATGGGCATGATGAATTTTCATGACATAACTTAAAAGGTGACCTAAGTTCGAATGGAAGTTTATAAGTATTGGCAGATGACAATGTCCTAGAGCAATATACAGTACAGACCAATTTTTTATTATTGGGATGGGGATGGAGATAAATCCAACCAGGAAACTCATTCCTTGACAATATCCGAGAAACAGAAGCATCCTCTGAAGACTGAACAACACTAAAGAAAATGATAGTTTCATTTTCTGAACAATAAAACAATTGGTTTCAATTAGCTCTCGATTGTTATAGAAATGACACAAAATTTGATCAGAACAGATCAAATGTTTTTACTATGGGCAACTACTAAAAAAAAAAAAAAAAAAAATCAGCCCAAAAGTATCAAGCTAATATAAAATGCACGAAGGCCCTTTTCACAAAAAGTAAAAACTTTGGCATACAGTCTACTGTGAGAGGTCTAGCTATTACTATCATGTTAACTTATTGCTTTTGCAGGTTTAACACCTTTTAAGGCCTTTCTGGGAGATTGCAATTAGAGGACATTCAAAGGGATAAGATTAAATATATATACACAATTTCCATGGGAGTCCAATTATATCAAATAAACTTTGTTTGCATGTGTGTGGGGTGTGTGTGTGTGTATGTAGAAGGGGTGTCCAGTGTACATAGTCTGTCAATTTGGTCAGTATCAATATACCATTATTCAATGTGATCTTCACTGTAAATGAAATGAAATATCAAAATGCATGAAAACAAATAATGATCCAAGTGTAAGGTTACACTTAACAGAATACATGAGTCCTTGGCAATGTCAGCAAAAGGATGGCAACAAGGAACCTAGAACAAATAAAACATGCATAGTTAAGACCATGTCCTCTTTAGTTCTGTATGGATAATAGCACCGACGTGTGTTGCAAGTAAAAATTAATCATTTTACAAAATGAGCAAAGGACAGCTTAACACCACAAAATGCAAAAGTGGTCCCTAACTTCAGTAAAAGCACAACTGGAAATTGAAATGTATGAGTGTTGCTACTTGATGTACTGGCACTGAATCAAAAGCAATGTCATAATTTCAATGAGTTTCGGTACAGCAAATAATTACAACAGAGAGGGGATTTCAGGAGCTAAGAAGGTGTCTGCTGACTATAAAAAATTACGAATTTCATTTACACTGAAGATGTATCCAAACCACAAAGAAAAGCAAACAAGCCAGATCCTGCAACAATCCGCCATTTGCAACCGACGACAGCAATTTTCAGGGGACTTCTACAAATCTCGTTTTCCGTATCAAGGTAGCATTAACTATATCAAGACTGGGGGAGATTGCGGCATAGATCTCGACTTCAATGTCCGACATTATAATGGAAATCTTTCTTTCTAAACACAGAATAAGTACACAGAGGCTGCCATTTTCCCCCAATTTGCATATTTTTGACGGACCGGCTGCAAACGTTAGGCAGGATAAGCATCAATTTCGAGCGATCGGAACGAAATCAAGGAGTGCCAAATAAATTGAACGGTGCATACTTACCTAAAGTCTTTTTATGCAACTGTAGAAAAAGGCTAGATCACCATACACAATGTAATTGTACTCCTTTTGAATGAATAAACATAGGACTTCTTTTCTAAGGGTGCGGCGCCCTTGCAATAAACTCAGGAATCCCCGTAAGTCCTCATTGCGCAGGCGCGATTGTCCCTGATGACGTCAATCCTTGGAACAACTAACACAATCAGGCCTAACGTGACGCTTGAATTCGGGGGGAAATGTTGAGAAATAACTTATAGTCATTCAGGCCTGCTTTCTGGTCCTCTGATCAGATGAATTATTTTATCCTTATACGGGTACACTTCTATGTAACTGATAACAGACAAGTCCTTTCAGAATACAGTAGCCTATCTCATGCTGTTATAAAAATATACAGTAGGCTATATCCTATAATTTTCTATGTACATGTAATTTTAAGTGGAATGAGTAAAGAACTACATATTTTAATGTTTGTTCTTGGTATAAATCATTTGTTGTATCTTAAATGACAAGGCGAATGAAATTAACGTTTCCGTTATGTAAGGGCTGCAAACATTGTGTAATTCGTTCTGCAAGGGTTGCAAGGAAAATAATTTTATAATTTTTCTTTGTTAACTAGTAGGCCTACCAATTAGCGCAATTTTATTACACATGCCAGACCAGTAAAAGGAAATCCCGATGTAAAAATAAAAATGTTTTATAAGATGTACTTAAGGTTTCGTAACATTTATTTTCCCCTAGATTTTATGTTTGAGCAGTGGCGGATTTAGGGAGTAGTCAGGGGATCCTGACTCCCCCCCCCCCCCCCCCCCACACACACACACACACACACACACAACCCTTCGATTTCTGAAAAAAAAAAAAATCCCACCAACAGTCCCCTCTTGAAATTGAAATTTGGACTACCTAAATCATAGTTCTCAACTGTACCAAATGGCACTGTTCGCCCTCCAGAATACCAAAAATTTCTGAGGCCCTCAAGAGGGGGTTGAGGGTCGGGTAGCTTTCCAGCCTATTCCTGTCATTCCTATCAAACTGGACCTCCTTCCCCCGCCCCCTTCAAATAATCCTGAATCCGCCCCTGACGAGGGTCCCATTTGGGGAAGGGGGTAGTCATAACACTTGACGGGAGATAAAATAATCAATCCACAAATCACAGTAAATAAAACATCATTCATATATCTTATTCAACATACGAGTTGAACATCACGCATCACTGAGCATAGTGACAACGTTACACGAATGACGAAGAGTAAATGAAGCCGCTTGAGAATGGTGTTCTTCACGTTTCGCGCTTAATAACATAATACGAACGGTTTACGCATCTCAGCTTTTACGGGTAGCGATAAAAAAACAAGTGAACCCTCATGTACTAATACACACACTGGACTATTAAAGAAGTGTCATCTCTACTGAACCAATACTTTGGGGGGAGATAAATGACTGTGGAATGATAGATCTATTGTCCATTATGTGTAGGCCTTACTGAACACATTATCATTGGTTAGCTACGCCCTACAATGAATTCGTTCATGACCATGTTAATTTTGATCTGAAATCCAAAATAAAAGTGACACCTTTTTTTTTTTTTTTTTTTTTTTTTTTTTTTTTTTTTTTGTCAAAATGTCAAAATGAAACCCAACTGTAGGCCTGAATGTTGCCATGGTAGAGCTCTCAAGGGTGTGTATATAATATTTATGAACTTAGAAGTAGCCTGCGGTACGTCAGCATCATAGGCCTTACGAATGGCAATAGGCTATACTGTACCGTAGGCCTATATTATTACTATATAATATAGGCGTAGCCTACGTGTGCAAATGACACGTGCGTACATGTATATTTTAATACCATTTATTATATAACGATAGATGTGATGCAAATAACGTAAGAAACTTCTTCTGTTTTACACAATTTAGAATCTATATTTACATAGACTGCCGGGGCATACAAGTACCGGTAGGAGTAACGATAAAGAGAATTTATTAATAAAGAAAATTTTCAGAATAATATCCATCCGCTATGGCTGTGTAACATGCATGTACGTGGTTATGAAATTAAAATATGAAATACACAAATAGCCTAAATAGAGTTTGTACCGGATACGAAGAGGCTATATATATGTTTTTCTTAATTTCCTTGGAACTGATTATGTATATTGTCTATATACAAATGTCAGAGGACCCGCTTCTCGCGAATGTGTTAGGTGTGACAACTTAAGCTTCCGGCGGAAGTAAATCTGAAAAAATACTATTAGTACAGCTGTAGTAAACCTAGTTGCTACTAGAGGTAGAAGAAAAAGGTTAGCAAACAGCAGCTTTTTTACCATTTCACATTGGACATTTTCCACTACCTGAAGTAGGGTGAGGGACTCACAATTAATTCGGATTTCATAATAAATGCAATGTGCGTACATCGCTTTTTCACTAGGATACATGGAAAACACCATGGACCATGTCATTAGCATTGCCATTTAGCATTGTCATTAGCAGACTACAAAATACATTAAGTAGTAGTACTTCTCTCACTTTTACTGCTGTAAATTGTCATATGTAAGGTAGAATTTACAGCTTAGTATATTGCCTCTGTTGCTTTGATTCAGTGATTGCAGCAAGAATTTCCAAACACCATGTAAACCATGGCAGGAAACGATCCCTTGAAATATGCCAATGAATTAGAATCGGTACTGAACCTTCTGAAAAATGATGCAGACTTGCGTGAAATGTTTAAGGTAAATGTGCTAAATAGTTTTGATCAGTATTATCAACATGACAGCTTAATTGCCCCCCCCCCCCCCCTTAATTTGCATCTCTTATTCATGTAATGGTAGTACTAATATTTGAAATATTATTTTATTGGGATATTGGGATTTTCATTTTGCTTTATTTGACAAAAGACCTAATCTAAAAATGCCCTTTTATATTAATTTTGTATATATTTGCAGGAGGGAGAGGTCTCTCAAGCCTTCAAGGAAATAGCCAGAGACCCATCAGCCATACCAAAATATCAGGAAAATGTCAAAATTCAAAAGCTTCTGAAAATGATGGGAGATAAAATTCAGGGGTTTGCCACATCGGTTGTAGCTGAAAGTGACGCTTCTGCAACCACAGCCTCAGCTCAAGGTGACACTGTGGAGGTAATCACTCTTTTTTAGGTTGTTACTAAGTAAATTTGTGTCAGCAATAAATATTTTGTCATTATAAAGTCTCCTTAACAAACATGCTCCACATTCATCTTCTTGCACTGTAAACAGTACTGAGATTCAAACACAAAATTCAGAAACTTACTGTTGTTAAAGGTACATGTATACTCCACATGTATGAAAATCACCCATGAAAGTCATTTATTCTTATGGGTGCATTCCCAGAGATTTAGATTGATCTAGAGATTTAGATTTAGATCCGCCTAACTCCCTGGGGGTTCTCGCTAAATTGTAGTCAGCCGTGCGCACACCATAGTTAATTACCCCCTTACAGCTTTTAGTAGGCAGGACAGACGCTTAAGCCAGCTAAGCTGACAGTAATCTAGTGAGACTCCCCACAGGGATAGAGCGATCTAAAAATCTGTGGGAATGGGGTCTATGTCTACACATATCCTGCAAAGCTAACTACTCTTTCCCAATTCAGACCCTTTAAAACTATAAAACCCTAAAATAAAAGTAACTGACATCAGCAGTTCTCTCTGAAATGTACAAGAAGACTCAGTGCACTGAATGACTGGCCAGTCATTTACAAGTAATCGATCATTAAATTTAAATGGAATAAAACAACGAATCTAAGGGTAGGGGTGGGTCGAGCAATGATCTTTAGAATGAGAATTTTTTTCCTGAAGGAAATTCTTTTTGATGGGTAAATACTGCAAACAGTACCTTTGAATTAATCCTAGTAACAGTTATTAGTGCAGGGGCGGATCCAGAGATATTTTCTGAGAGTCTTCCAAATAATCTTTGTTGATCCACCCTCCATTTTGACTGTCTTCTGACAGAAAAAATTAAATATCTGTCAATGTAAACTTAAAAATCTGACCGTCTTCCGGAAGACCCAGAAGACGGCCTAAATCCGCCCCTGTAGTGCATGCGAAAAAAGTGCAGTGAGTACTGGTAATTTCTTAACTGCACGTAAGATATTCATAGTATCAGTTTTTAGATAGTCTATATTTTAAAAAGAAAACATTATTTTACAGCAATCAGAGGAATTAGCAATGGATGGAGAAAGCAGAGACTTATTTGATGAAGATGCTGCAGTGCAGCCTTTAGTGGGAGTAGATGTATTAGAACAGGTAAGGCAGATAAAAAAGTATAAGTTGAAGATTGCAATACCGATCAAGTAAAAATTTGGCACAATTCACATAATACTAGTATATGTGAGTAACTGAAATCAATGTGAAAAAGTTCATTGACATTCTGCTAAAAAGTGAATATATTGGTCATGGCAGTGATGCAAAAAATTTTGTGTAATATTTTCATAATTGTTTTATGTATCTTCTTTGTTACTGTGTAGCATTAAACCGCAAAAATACTGGGGCGAGTCAAAATTATGCAACATGATACAAGATATGCACCACTGATTTGACTTAAATGTTCCCTTACAGACTTTTCTGTGAAATTGCTCAGAAATGAAATAATTGAAAAGTGTGAGTAATCTCTCTATATATAGGTAGGTTGCAAATCTGATTCTTTCTTTTAATACCTACTAAGAATTGGTGATATTTTCTAACTCTAGATACTCCGTGCCAAGAAAGGGGACCCCAGCAAGTTTCAGAGTCACTGGGAGCAAGATGAAGAAGACATTGATTTTGCCACAGATGAGGAAATAAAAAGTGAGATGCGAGAATTGCCAAATGTTTACCTTATAATATTCTGTCCTGCAGATGTTTTCATGCATTTAGTTTATTTAATTTTATTTTTATTTATTTTATTTTATTTCTATTTATTGTCATTTGGAAAGTCAAATCAGCTTGGTTTCTGCTTGAAGAAATTTGATCATTTGTCATTAATCATATTAAATGCTCTACTTACTTTATCATTTATTTATTTATTGATTAATTAATTTATTTATTTACTTTTAAAGACAATCCAGTTCAGAGAATTTTGTGGGCTGCAGAGAATGGCGAAGTGGACATTGTGACTGAACTCTTACAGAAAGATGCATCCTTGATTCAAGCTGTAGATAAAGATGGCTATACACCTTTGCACAGAGCAGCCTACAATGGAGAGATGGACGTTGTCAAGGTTAGATACCTAAAATTATACGTTAATGGCACTAAAGGGGTATCTTTACATTATAAAGGCTTAAATTTGTCAAAAATAGCATAATTTCATTGTTTCTGTTATGTGAAATACTTATCTAATATTATTGCAGTATATGTAATCAATTTTAGAGCACTACATTTTTAGTTGCTTTATTCACCATCCCACTCTTATCAGGCCCGTAGCCAGGGGGGTTCGGGGGGGGGGGGGGGTTCGAAACAACTGCCCTTTTTGCTGGGAAAAGGTCCACTCTGGGTTAAATTTTATCTAGGTACATGAAGTTTTTATAGAAAAAGGTCCACTTTTTCAGAAAAAGAACCCCCTTTTTGAAATTGCTGGCTACGGGCCTGTCTTTTCTGCACATACGTTCAGGTGTAAATCAAATTCTCTGGTATTCTCTCTTTTGTACATTGGGGCTATTCTAAGAGAGGATTGAAAAAACAAATCATTTCAGATATTGCTGTCCCAGGGAGCAGACGTCAATGCCCAAACCAAAGATGGCTGGCAACCAATCCACAGTGCAGCAAGATGGAACCAGGTCGAGGTTGTCTCTCTCCTACTCCAAAATGGCGGCAATATCAATGCACAAACAAATGGCGGTCAGACACCTCTGATGTTGGCAGCGTCAAACAGGGAAGGGAAAGAGACCACAGAGTTTTTGCTCATGAATCGTTACGTCGACCCACATTTGATGAACAATATTGGAGAGACAGCATACACATTGTGTCAGAGATACACTGGATTTTACTATCTATTTGATATTGTTCACCCGAGTATAAACAGTTTTTGAATTTGAATTGGAACCTGGGTGAAATGAGAAGATAGCCTGGAGAATATGTGTAGTATATGACTACTTGTCGCTGTTATGTTTTTTCTTTTAGATAAATCGTTTATGCCACCTTTCTTTTTTTTTGTTGGTGCATATTTTAACAAAACTTCGCATGAGATCCATATTTCACAATAAATACTTTGTAAACAACTCATAGAAGTATGATACATTTTATGTTACCACAAAACGGCGGTTATTGCAATTAATCTGGAATCTGTGCTTGTCATCGGACCACGTGGCCTCCAAATATGGCTACCTTTTGTAATATTCTCTTAGATTCATAACAAAAAACTTTGTAGAAAAATTGGACCAACTTTGAATGTTGGAACGGATTAACTTACCATTGGTAAATGTGGGAAAATTGACGTTTACCCTAGGAAATTTAATTTTTTTGCAAAAATGAAGAGTTGCTTAACCTTAATTAAATGCCGTCTTTCTTTTATCTTGGTGCATACTTTATTTAAGGTTGATCTGCTATGCGGTTATTATGATTACGAACATGTAGACGCTCCGTTTTCTCTGAAATCCATTATGCCGATTTGTACCAAAATGGCGCAGCGACTCGAACGTTTCCTCAAGTCCGACAAGGAGATCACTTTTTACAAAACATTTCTAACTACAGTATTAATATAAGTCCTTGTCTGCATTTAAAGAGTGGATGCACGTACAGGTAAAATAACACGAGATGAAAAGAAAATAAACACGGATCAGGATCAGGGTTGGGTTTCGGGCTCGTCATGTTTTCAGAATATGGTCTGCCACATGGGTGAAAATTATGCCCGATTTCAGGATTTTCAGACTTCATTTTGATCGTTTCTAAGTGCGGTGAGGAACTGCAAGCTACATGTACGTTTTCAGAATTTTCAGTTTTTACAACTTTCACCCACACTCACACTCTTTACCCCGAACTGAGTGGAAAGTTGGATGGCTACCCTCCGTCATGGCTTGTATATATGCTTTTATATTTAATATATATCAATAACCCTCGAGAAAATGATCCATATTTTGTCGCTACCTTTTTGTTAAAATATATTGACGTAGTTTTTGTTGTTGTGTTTTAGTCCCGGATTCGATGTACAAATAAACGTTTTGTATAACGATCTGGCCCAATGCCAATATACTCGGTGCATTGAGCTAGTAAATAATCACCATGTAAATCGCCGAGATAAAAATGCAAGTTTTAAAAACTATTTTAAAGATGCGGTTGTCAAACAACACGCGATTTTTAGTTCATTAAAATTCATCTGGAATCCGCATTTACATTTATTGTTTTTTTTTCCTTTCCATTTTTTGAAAAATTATTTTAGTATACAAAAAATGTGACACGTTGGGGCTTTTATTCTTTTATTATTATTTTGTTGGGGGGGGGGGGGGGTCACAACGCGATAAAAATCCCTCCAATAGTTTACCCTTTGCCTTCAATATGTACCATTACGCGGTGACTAAAAACTTTACACATAGTATGAAGAATTAGTGGAATACTTAACCATTTAGATCATTCGACGAAGATTACATTTACAAACAAGTGACGTATTTTTCCACCGCACTCTCACAGTCACGTGACAAGAAGGATTGCGGACACACCTTGAGGCAGATTAGATGGAATGATAATAAACTGTGTCAAAATAGACGTATGTATGCCTGGTCCTGTATTTTTATCAGTAAAAGTCCGGGATAGAGTCGCAGTCTTTTTTCCTTCTCGTGAAGTTTATTATGTCAGTGTATAATTGTGCAGCGAGGTGTAACATTTCCTCATTCTACCTGTATTGACGAGGTCAGTCTTTACGGCAATTCACGGACCTTGACACGCCTACCCTTTCTATGTGTTAATATATGAGGGAGGTGGATACAGGGAATTAATTGCCAAATATTGTAAAAAATGTGTTTCTATTGAAGCTTTTTTTTTTTTTTAGAGAAATTGAAATGTAAACGTATTTTGTCGTGCAGAGAGATGGCAAATGAAACACTATCGTTTTGAGCTCAATACATTTTATTATTATTATTATTATTATTATTATTATTATTATTATTATTATTATTATTATTATTATACGCTCCATCCTCTTAATCTACATGTTTAGTTGGACATTTCCGTGTGTTTAATAATTCTATTTTAAATTTTGTTTAATCACGGATAAACAAATTGTTTGGGTAAAAATCTGGCCAAAATTCTGATCAATTAATTTTTATGTCGAGACGAACAATATTTTCTTTTTTTCTTGCTTCTTTTCGTAAATGTATTCATTAAATTTTCTTATATACAAAATGCACCGGAAATCGAAAAAAAAATACAAGTCGCATTTTTTTGGGGGGAGGGGGGGGGGACGCTTTTTTCTTTGCGAAAACTAGTGCCAGTTGATGACAAAATAATTTTAGACGTTATTTCCAGGAAGAAAACGCTTTAGTTTACAATTAAGCTGGCTGTCACGGGGGCGGGGACGATGTTATCCCTCAATTAACGATAGTGCTGAGCTCGATTCCTTTACGCTAGTATCTCATTTCCTCGTTCAAATGAAGGAAACCGTATGGCAATTAATAAAAGTGAAAAAATTACATGCCCTTAAGTTGTAATAAAGCACAACAAACACTGTGAACGCCTATGGCCAGCGTCCAACCGTACATTAAGATATAAATCACAAACACGGAAATCTGGCCAAGGACACCAGGGAACGTGAATGATAAAATCACCGGAACCGGACCGCTACGGTCTAATAAAGACGTCCAATGGGTTGATGAAGAAGACGTCCAATACAAAACAGTGACGCTGACATAAATCATAGACAAGGAAGTGGAGTACTGAGCCAGGTGTATATAAGTCGGGGTTTTTGAATGTTGACATCAGTGAAACTTTTCTGTGTTAAAGCGTGCACAGCCGAGGACGCCGAAAAAGTTGACATAATTTGAAGATCTCATATTCGCGATAGTTTTGTTTTTTCAGTAACAGCCAGTCAGGGTTGTCTTTTTGCGGGACGAATAGTGGTGGACCATTCTGTTATTTTTGCAAGGTAGGTGTCCGTATGTTAACATGCAGCTCGAGAGCGAGGTGAATGTTGGGGGAAAGTTATTTATTTATTTATTCATTTATTTATTTATTTATTTTACAATGTGTTGGGAGTGTGTTTGCATCTTTGACTGTTTAGGCATTCAACTGCGGTTTAAGAGGTCCATTTCCCGTTTTGCGGCTTAAAACTATTTTTCGTTCATCCCTTTCATACAAAAAAAAAAGGGCTGAAGAAAAGCGTTACACATTTTAAATTGATTATCACGTTTTTGACTTCACAACTTCATAAAGTGACAAAGTAATTAACGATGATTACGTTATTTTGTCTAGATGCGAATATATTTTACATACGGCACATCTGAGGGAAGCTTATAGATCTAATGTAGATGCGTATGATTATTCATGACACTATTGTGACGTGCGTTGAGGTTTTTACTGTTCTTTACAGCGGCCGCTCGATCACTTGAAATGGCGACCTCAATTTTCTCAACCATTCCTTTGTTGTTTTGTGCGGTGATCATCAGTTCTTCGATAGCATTCCGTCTTGACAGACTAGCATCTTTACGTCTACCTGTAAAAGAATCCATTGGTAAGTTTTTGTCATTTTTAAAGTTTTTCATCTCAGACTGAAAACGGGCATTTGCCATGCATACAGTGCCGACAGTATATATAAGACAGTCCCGGACATGAATATTTCTGTCATCACAAATAATATAATATATCCATAACAGTACAAGGTAATACCAAGAGAAACTTTCTTAAAGACTAAAGCATACTAATACGACTTTTGAGCAAGTATTCATAATTTACATGTTAATATTCTTGTGCACTTCATGTAACAACAGTAACCAACATTCCCACCTGCAACATGCTTATTTGAAGGAGAATTATAGAACTGTTTTATAAAACAGTATGCAGAGTATGTGACACAACCTCAAGGTCGCTTCATCTGTATAAACTCTATCCATAATTACGTAACTCGATCATGGTTTCTTTTTCTAACTTCAGCGATACCGCTACCGTCGCCATCATGCCCAGCTGGACAAGTCCAAGAACAGACGTCCTATCTTCATTACCCACAACAAACCTACAGCACCGCATTCTGTAACTCGGTGGCCGCAGATGCTCAAAACGAATGCGGTTATCACTGCAAGAAAGTGTGTAGAGATAACCATGGAGCGTCTGCTACTGTGGCCAGTGTTACCCTGAACGCGTGCGTTCCGAGTAGTTCTGTGCCAGGATTTTCTTCCGGCATTCTTGTGAAGATGGATGTTTGCTGTTCTCCACCACCGCCTCCATCTTGCCCAAGCGGACAGGTGCCAGAACAGACTTCTTACCTTCATTACCCACAACAAACCCACAGCATAGCATTCTGTAACTCGGTGGCCGCAGATGCACAAAATGAATGTGGTTTTCACTGCAAGAAAGTGTGTAGAGATAACCACGGAGCGTCTGCTACTGTGGCCAGTGTAACTTTGAATGCTTGCGTCCCAGGAAACTCTGTGCCAGGATTTTCTTCCGGAACTCTTGTGAAGATGGATGTTTGCTGTTCTCCACCACCACCGCCATCTTGCCCAAGCGGACAGGTGCCAGAACAGACGCCTTACCTTCATTACCCACAACAAACCCACAGCACGGCATTCTGTAACTCGGTGGCCGCAGATGCTCAAAACGAATGTGGTTTTCACTGCAAGAAAGTGTGTAGAGATAACCATGGAGCGTCTGCTGCTGTGGCCAGTGTTACTTTGAACGCGTGCGTTCCGAGTAATTCTGTTCCAGGATTTCCTACCGGAACTCTTGTGAAGATGGATGTTTGCTGTTTGCCACCAACTTGCCCAGCTGGACAAGTCCAAGAACAGACGCCTTACCTTCATTATCCACAACAAACCCACAGCACGGCATTCTGTAACTCGGTGGCCGCAGATGCACAAAATGAATGTGGTTTTCACTGCAAGAAAGTGTGTAGAGATAACCATGGAGCGTCTGCTACTGTTGCCAGTGTTACTTTGAACGCGTGCGTTCCGAGTAATTCTGTGCCAGGATTTTCTACCGGAACTCTTGTGAAGATGGACGTTTGTTGTAACCCTTAAACTAAAGTTCCCAACCCGAGTGTTGACAGTGTTCTCCTTTGTATTTGGAAGAACATCGTAGAAACTGCACGTTGAGAATATATGCTTTTTCAATCAGTTCATTTACTGCATAATTAGTTCTTTATGCATCCATGCTGTAACATTGCATAAAATATTGAAAATTGTTGGTAAAACTCTTCATTGAGGGTTTGATTGTTATGAGCGTACTTTGTGAAACCCCCTTTAAGGCTCTTTATTTGCTTACATCCATAATCAGAGTATTTTTACAGCTTTTTTCAAAACTTTGAAGTGTCTAAACATACCCGTATACCCGTCGATTTTGAGAAATATGACTACCAGAAACATTACTAATCTTTTTTTTATGAATATAATACGTTTAACTTATTTACAGTCATTTAAATATTCAAATATGTTAGAAATTTGTTGCGATTGAAACTGTAACTTGCAAAATGTCTCATAGTTTTATTCGATAGAAATATATCTTAAGTGGTATTCAGGACTCGCCAAGAGGATTATGCACGATTGAGAGAATTTCGCGGTCTTTTTCTACGTTCTGTTTTTACACATCTCTTTGTAGATATTCTCCATTTCACTAAACACTGACATTTTATTATCCATGTGTACGAAATAAATGGAATTTTCTTTTGTTTGTTTTATCAAACAACTTGTTATCGTTTCTCATTCAAATCTCTTATAGCTTAGTATCGTTTGGATTTGAGAAATCTAGATACAATATTTGGCGTATTCATGAAAAAGGTCTATATATTCAATAAACATAAGTAATTTATATATTATCGAATACCTTTGATTTAACAGAGCCACTCCCGTTATCGGGTGGCGTAAAATATTGTTTCTGTCACACGAATCTTTATTGCATATCAATGGCAACGATTTTTACTTCATGAATTAAACGCGCTGCTTGAGTAGTGACATTATTTAAGAGAGTCGTTCTCCATTTGGACGGAGAATCATTTTTACTTACATTTTGTTAATTTTGTGACATCAAATCTTAATTTTGTGTAGCAGATCATAAAAAAAGCGTCGCTTGGTACAGTGGTATGATGCATTGCTATGATGTTACATGCATTGCATTCCAGGAATTAAAAGTGTTATCTATTTTTTTATGATTTGGATTTGCAAACGAGCGACGTAAATCTGTGCGGCTGGTGTAGTGGTATTGTGCAAAATTCCCTTTATTGCGACCCTTTATTCGATTCTGGGGCGGCGCACTGATCTTACTGATAATTTATCAAAAAATTTATATTGAATTTGACTTTTAAAAAATTATGATATAAGTGCAAAATTATTATGTGCAAGTACATGCAAAAAGTGCCATTGCTATCAGAGGTATTATCATTTTTGGCGTCGCAATAATTTTATTCACTTTTGTTGAAGTATTTAACATGAAATAACAACTAAGAAAACTTTTTGCAACTCTCCGACCTAGTATACGTGTGGCGCCGCTGGTGTAGTGGTATCATGCAAGATTCCCATTCTTGCGACCCGGGTCCGATTCCCGGGAGGCGCATACTTTTTTAGTTAAACTTTTCTTGATATGTTTTACTCACCTTAATAGTTTCATAGTTAAGTTTATAATATTATCTTTAGCACTGATCGCCAAAGATTCCTGTCCCCTGTCCACTGGAATTATAATTATGTAAGATTTTTACTTTTGCGACACACATTCTATTCCCTGGAAAACCTTACAAATTGTAGTCTATTTCATATTTGACTGCAATTTCCATGAATTCGAAATCGAACAACAGAAGAATAACAGCGCCGCTGGTGTAGTGGTATCATGCAAGATTCCCATTCTTGCGACCCGGGTTCGATTCCCGGGCGGCGCATAAATTGTAGTTAAATTTATATGTAAATCACTTTTTCATATTTATTAAACTAGTAAAACTTATGCGTTACTCACCTTTATAAAATTATCTTTATCACTGATCGCGAAGGATGCCCCTGGTTCACTGGTTTGGTGAAAGATATTTATATTTGCAATATGCATTCCATTCCCTGGAAAGCCTTTTAAATGTTTCTTTATAAATTCTATATATTTTATATATTTGTTAACAATTTCCATGATTACGTAAGTCCGATATAAGGCGCCGCTGGTGTAGTGGTATCATGCAAGATTCCCATTCTTGCGACCCGGGTTCGATTCCCGGGCGGCGCATAAATTGTAGTTAAACTTTTATGAAAATCACTTTTTCATATTTATTAAACTATTAAAACGTATGCGTTACTCACCTTTATAAAATTATCTTTATCACTGATCGCGAAGGATTCCCCTGGTTCACTGGTTTGGTGAAAGATATTTATATTTGCAATACGCATTCCATTCCCTGGAAAGACTTTTAAATTCTATATATTTTATATTTGTTAACAATTTCCATGATTACGTAGGTGCGATATAAGGCGCCGCTGGTGTAGTGGGATCATGCAAGATTCCCATTCTTGCGACCCGGGTTCGATTCCTGGGCGGCGCACGTTTTACTGATATTTTATCAACTGTTTTATGTCGAGTTTATTTTAAATGCTGTCACGTAAATTTGATAAACAATGCGTCTGTATGTGTGTGCGTGATCGGCTCACAGCTATACGAAAAATAATGAACAGAAAGCAATGCTTTAGGTACAAAATATTTTATTTAAACCATTATGAGTGAAACGATGAATTCCAACACGTACACGCAAGTTAACATATACAGTGCGCGTATCAAGCAAAACACATGGGTATGGGTATTACAAGTAAACCGTATGGATAAAACATTAATTATTGTAAGAGAATTTGCCAGCACATGTGGCATGCGTGTACGGATTCTAAATGAAACTGCCCTGCCTGTACATCCATTACGTACAAATTCCAGCACAGATGTGCCATTAAAATCGCGAAAATAACGGTCTCTAAAAGCAGTATTTTACTTCAAGGAAAAAATATTCTTTAAAATTAGGCAAGCTGTATGTAACATTTTACCACACAACGGAGTTTAGATAACATTGTATAGGGGAATGGAGTCTTTTTTAAAGTAATATACATCAAGCATACAGATACAGTGTAGCAAAATATTACGTATACGATTACAATGTGTTAATGTACAAAATAAGTAAACGTATCAATACAGTATTGACATAATAACAGCATTTCATTCACATGATGTTATACTAGTTTAAATAAATATCATTTTACTGTGCAATGACTTCATGAGGAATATTTCATATTCTGTATCTCAATATACAAAAACTAAGTAGACTATAACCGTCATTAGCTATTCAAGTGCATCTTAATACTTTAGTTTGGAGTAACACATTACCTTGTTAGCTATTTAGTTTGTATCTATATGGTATCGTACAAAAAGTGGTTGCCATTGTCACTAGCGAGGGGCCCCACTTTACTCATTGCGTTAGGTGAGAAATAAGCACAACTAATCTCGGCAACAAGTGCCAAACAATAAAAGAGCTGACATTTTTATAGGAAATTGCAATATTTTAAATTCGTCTTATGGGGGCACATATCAGGGACCAATTCTCAGCTGCCATTACATGTCAAGATGTTTGAGATAACCACTAATGAATNATTTTCTTCCGGAACTCTTGTAAAGATGGACGTTTGCTGTTCTCCACCACCGCCTCCATCTTGCCCAAGCGGACAGGTGCCAGAACAGACTTCTTACCTTCATTACCCACAACAAACCCACACCACGGCATTCTGTAACTCGGTGGCCGCAGATGCACAAAATGAATGTGGTTTTCACTGCAAGAAAGTGTGTAGAGATAACCACGGAGCGTCTGCTACTGTGGCCAGTGTAACTTTGAATGCTTGCGTCCCAGGAAACTCTGTGCCAGGATTTTCTTCCGGAACTCTTGTGAAGATGGATGTTTGCTGTTTGCCAACAACTTGCCCAGCTGGACAAGTCCAAGAACAGACGCCTTACCTTCATTATCCGCAACAAACCCACACCACGGCATTCTGTAACTTGGTGGCCGCAGATGCACAAAACGAATGTGGTTTTCACTGCAAGAAAGTGTGTAGAGATAACCATGGAGCGTCTGCTACTGTTGCCAGTGTTACTTTGAACGCGTGCGTTCCGAGTAATTCTGTGCCAGGGTTTTCTACCGGAACTCTTGTGAAGATGGACGTTTGTTGTAACCCTTAAACTAAAGTTTCCAACCCGAGTGTTGACAGTGTTCTCCTTTGCATTTGGAAGAACATCGTAGAAACTGCACGTTGAGAATATTTGCTTTTTCAAGCAGTTCATTTACTGCATAATTAGTTCTTTATGCATCCATGCTGTAACATTGCATAAAACATTGAAAATTGTTGGTGAAACTCTTCATTGAGGGTTTGATTGTTATGAGAGCACTTTGTGATACCCTCTTTAAGGCTCTTTATTTGCTTACATCCATAATCAGAGTATTTTTACGGATTTTTTTCAAAACTTTGAAGTGTCTAAACATACCCGTATACCCTTCGATTTTGAGAAATATGATTACCAGAAACAGTTCTCATCTTTTTATATGAAAATAATACGTTTGATTTGTGTACAGTCATTTGAATATTCACATATTTTATAATTTTGATGCGATAGAAACTGTAACTTGCAAAATGTCTCATAGTTTTATTCGATAGAAATATATCTTAAATGGTATTCAAGAGCCAAGAGGATTATGCACGATTGAAAGAATTTTGTGGACTTTTTGCACGTTCTGTTATTACGTAGATATTCTCCATTTCACTAAATACCGACCATTTTACTATCCAAGTGTACGAAATAAATGGAATTTTCTTTTGTTTGTTTTATCAAGCAACTTGTTATCGTTTCTCATTCAAATCTCTTATAGCTATAGCTTAGCATCGTTTGGATTTTAAAAATCTATATACAATATTTGGCGTATTCATGAAAAAGGTCTTTATTTCAATAATCATAAGTAATTTATATATTATCGAATACCTTTGATTTAACAGAGCCACTCCCGTTATTGGGTGGCGTAAAATATTGTTTCTGTCACACGAATCTTTATTGCATATCAGTGGCAACGATTTTTACTTCATGAATTAAACGCGCTGCTTGAGTAGTGACATTATTTAAGAGAGTCGTTCCCCATTTGGACGGAGAATTTTTTTTACTTACATTTTGTTAATTTTTTGACATCAAATCTTAATTTTGTGTAGCAGATCATAAAAAAGCGTCGCTTGGTACAGTGGTATGATGCATTGCTATGATGCTACATGCATTGCATTCCAGGAATTAAAAGTGTTATCTATTTTTTATGATTTGGATTTGCAAACGAGCGACGTAAATCTGTGCGGCTGGTGTAGTGGTATTGTGCAAAATTCCCTTTATTGCGACCCTTTATTCGATTCTGGGGCGGCGCACTGATCTTACTGATAATTTATCAAAAAATTTATATTGAATTTGACTTTTAAAAAATTATGATATAAGTGCAAAATTATTATGTGCAAGTACATGCAAAAAGTGCCATTGCTATCAGAGGTATTATCATTTTTGGCGTCGCAATAATTTTATTCACTTTTGTTGAAGTATATAATATGAAATAACAACTAAGAAAACTTTTTGCAACTCTCCGATCTAGTATACGTGTGGCGCCGCTGGTGTAGTGGTATCATGCAAGATTCCCATTCTTGCGACCCGGGTTCGATTCCCGGGCGACGCATATTTTTTAGTTAAACTTTTCTTGATATGTTTTACTCACCTTAATTAGTTTCATAGTTAAGTTTATAACATTATCTTTATCACTGATTGCGAAAGATTCATGTCGCATGTCCACTGGAATTATGTAAGATTTTTACTTTTGCGACACACATTTTATTCCCTGGAAAACCTTACAAATTGTAGTCTATTTCATATTTGACTGCAATTTCCATGAATTCGAAGTCGAACAACAGAATAATAACGGCGCCGCTGGTGTAGTGGTATCATGCAAGATTCCCATTCTTGCGACCCGGGTTCGATTCCCGGGCGGCGCATAAATTGTAGTTAAACTTATATGTAAATCACTTTTTCATATTTATTAAACTAGTAAAACTTATGCGTTACTCACCTTTATAAAATTATCTTTATCACTGATCGCGAAGGATGCCCCTGGTTCACTGGTTTGGTGAAAGATATTTATATTTGCAATACGCATTCCATTCCCTGGAAAGCCTTTTAAATGTTTCTTTATAAATTCTATATATTTTATATTTGTTAACAATTTCCATGATTACGTAAGTGCGATATAAGGCGCCGCTGGTGTAGTGGTATCATGCAAGATTCCCATTCTTGCGACCCGGGTTCGATTCCCGGGCGGCGCACATGTTTTTCTGATATTTTCTCAACTGTTTTATGTCGAGTTTATCTTAAATGCTGTCACGTAAATTTGATAAACAATGCGTCTGTATGTGTGTGCGTGAGCGGCTCACAGCTATACGAAAAATAATGAACAGAAAGCAATGCTTTAGGTACAAAATATTTTATTTAAACCATTATGAGTGAAACGATGAATTCAACACGTACACGCAAGTTAACATATACAGTGCGCGTATCAAGCAACACACATGGGTATGGATATTACATGTAAACCCTATGGATAAAACATTTATCATTGTAAGAGAATTTGCCAGCACATATGGCATGCGTGTACGGATTCTAAATGAAACTGCCCATTACGTACAAATCCCGGCACAAATGTGGCATTAAAATCGTGAAAATAAATGTTTCTAAAAGCAGTATTTTACTACAAGGAGAAAAGTATTCTATAAAATAGGCAAGCTTTGTATAACATTTTACCATACAACGGAGTTTAGATAACATTGTACAGGGGAATAGAGAGTTTTTTTTTCAAAAGTGATATACATCAAGCATACAGCTACATAGCAAAATATTACGTATACGATTACAATGTGTTAATGTACAAAATAAGTAAACATATCAATACATTCATCATTTTTAGTTTAAATAAATATCATTTTACTGTGCAATTACTTCATGAGGAATATTTCATATTCTGTATCTCAATATACAAAAACTAAGTAGACTATTACCGTCATTAGCTATTCAAGTGCATCTTAATACTTAAGTTTTGAGTAACACATTACCTTGTTAGCTATATAGTTTATATCTATATGGTATCGTACAAAAAGTGGTTGCCATTGTCACTAGCGAGGGGCCCCACTTTACTCATTGCGTTAGGTGAGAAATAAGCACAACTAATCTCGGCAACAAGTGCCAAACAATAAAAGAGCTGACATTTTTATAGGAAATTGCAATATTTTAAATTCGTCTTATGGGGGCACATATCAGGGACCAATTCTCAGCTGCCATTACATGTCAAGATGTTTGAGATAACCACTAATGAATCAGCACATTCCATACAGTCAAATACTCCATTAAATGATTCCTTTACAGTATTTGCAAGACTATTACAAATTCGTCATATGCAATGTGGTAAATCTAGTCCCCACTACCCCAGGCCTATACTATTCTTCAGCATAATGTACCACTTATTCTTATCTTCACAAGAATTGTATATATTTTACACCTATGCCAGTGACAATCCATTCATGATGCACAATATGCAAAAGAAAAAAAAATTAAACAGTGAACATTTAGCTACAAACAGCACCAAAGAGTTTTACCTGATAAACCTATATCATGATTTTAACATATAATTTACATATTTTAACTTTTATGTTGACATCAAGGTACTGGTTTAGAGCTTGTTCATTTTAAAGTATCAATTACAGAAAAGGATTCAAGTAATCTACTTTTGTGATTTTTTGAGGGAATTCGAGTAATTCTCTCGTGTAAATCAAGTTTTAAATCTCCAGGTTTTTACTTGAAAATTAAAAAACCTTGTGGGACAATTGATCAGCAAAGAATTATCTTGATCAGAGGACAAAATATGTTGGCAAACCGTAATTTTTATTTCTTAACTGGGGCTTATAAAGCAAAAATCCACTACAATATGCTCCATTCTAATCACAATGTACCAGTACCAATACTTACAAATTGTGTTACTTATACAGCAATATATATCTCAAACTGCTTTGTGTCCCAATTTTTGACATGGAGAGACCCCAATCTCCCCCCCTCCCCAAATATTGGCATGCATAAAGGTTCTTGGGAAACTTGAAAATTACACAGATTTTCAATTATGCATTAATGTATATATTTGCACATTAAATCTGTCCAGTCATTGAGCATATGATCATGTCATTCAGAACACTTTTGGCATTTTAAAATTTATAACACGACACGTACCGAGGAACGGAAAAAGCAAAGTTTTTACGCTTTAAAAGGCTTATAGTATGTACACTGCTGTGATAAGTTGTTATATGTGTCTTACAGCTCTCAATATGCTAAAACAATTATTCCTTAAAAAAATTGCATGGTTATCCCTAGATACATATTGACTTCATGCGTTGTGTGTAAAAAGGTACTTCAGAAGTAATACTTCATATTGGTGGGATAACACAATGCTAGAGCCTCAGTTCTGTTAGGTGAGATGGTATGGCAGGATGCCATTGCATTAAAAATAGATTGCCTTACAGACAAACCGTACATACGTGAACTATTAAATGCTGTCATTTATACACAATGATCAATGAGATGTTTGTACCACAACAGCATGCTGTAATTGTGTACAGTAAAATGCAGTCACTTTTGGCAGAGAAATTTCCAAATGTTTAATAAGACGTGTAGGAATTAGGTTACAAAACTGGGAATGTGGGCCATATAATATTGAATGCTGCTTATCATCACCCTGGAGTGGAGAAAAAAAAAAAAACACGATGCTGTTACATGGTACTGGCCATCCAAACTGGGTTAAATTCGTTACATAAATGCACATATATACATATAATATTAACTGAATTTACACTATGTTTTGCAAAATTTTATAGAACTTCGTCCTTTCCGGTGGTCAACTAAATGTAACTCTTCTTTGTCCAGTGTTACGTATTGGATACAGCCCTGGAAACCTTTATAGTATGCTCTTGGAAGGCCATCTGGGGGCATGCGTTTGCCACCTGGAAAAAAGTTCAATATAAATTACACTTCTTGATACTTGTCTTTAACATTTCATATTGGTAATTAAATACAAGGCCTGCAACCAGCATTTCCCTGGGGGGAGGTTTTTTTTTTTTTTTATCTGGAAAAGTGGATCTTATTTCCTTTGAATTGTCACAACTTGAGAAATGGCTGGCATATAGCCTTGATAGAATTTGAATTCAGAGCAGTCTTATTTTGGAAAAAAAGGCAGTACTTTCAAACCCTCCGAACCTGGTCACTGAATTACATGGCATACTGACCTATCCACAGCTGACCATCAGTGTCCAGTTGAGTTGCCCCTTGCCTAGACACCTTGGTTATTGGCCGATTTCCATCAACAGTTAACACTCCTTTCCTCTTATCCCTAGTGTAACAAAAATAAGTTTCATCAAAGCTAGGTAATTTAAAGAATGTTTAAAATGAAAGAAGACAGATTAACAGATTTAGAAGACAGATTAAAACAGCAGATTACCACCCTCTCCCTTGTAGACACCCTGCTGTGATGTGATCTCCAGTCATGTGACTGCTCCTTTAACACAATATAACATTAACCTGTAGAAAAGAGCAGACAGTTGCTGCTAAAAAGTCCAGATAAAAGAAATTCCTATGCAGAATGATCTGCTTTTTATTTCAAGGTATAAACATATTGCTGAACATGTTATAAATTGAATAAAACCTGGACGCAGTTAGTAGAAAGCACAACCTCTAAGCTCAAATGCTCTAGTTTAGATTATGTTACAAAATGAGGAATCTACTGGAGTGAATAAATAAATAAACAAAATCTTAATGTCTGATACAAATAAATTGTACTATGTAAATGAAATTAATGAAAGCTTTGTGCCAGTAATTGTTGCTGAATCAGCAAATTGCAAGCCTTGAAAAAATTACTGATTTAAAATAGCACATTGATGGAACTTTAAAGATACTATACTCAAGCACCTTCATTATTGGAATAAAGTAAACGAAAAAAGGCACTAATGGCTGAAAATTGGTAAAATACTCATAACCAAATACAATTGGGAATAATTTACAGTTAAGAAAATGGTGAATTACCTCTCAGCTATTATTGTATGCCAGTCGCCATCATCTACTCGCACTGCAGATCTTATTTTATGGATGTCAGTGGGTGATTGTTTTCCTAGATTGTAGCTAAACTCTACGTGACCATTCACTATAGCTAGGGCCAGGTAATCTCCTCTAATGGTAGGACTTTTGTGAACTATTAAAACAAGGCCGTTCTTTTCCGTCGTTCTAAGTCGGATAAGGTATCTATTTTGCCTTTGACTGCGTTGTCTGAAAAAAATTGAAAAGCAAATCAAAATTAAGTGTAATTTTTTACATTTTTTTAATGAAAAATTTTAAAACTTGGTTCAATTATGGCTATCACACTTAAATTTCAGTGACACCACTAATAAAAAAAATTAATATTCATTCTTTCAGGCTGATCACTTGAACAATTCTAGATGGTAACCAAACTCTCTTTCCTTAACCTGTAAAATTATTTTTCAGGAATCTCCAACTGCAAATTATTTTGCAAAATACTTATTTACATATTACTTGTCTATAAATGTAGGAAGAAATTGCCATACCAACAAGTTTAAAAATCCAAATAATTAAAATAACATATAAGTAAAAGGTTTCAAACAAAATTTTAAAATAATTCCAATGACAATAAAATGCACATTTGGAAAGCTGTATATGTACTCTTATAATGATTAGTCCTTTTTTTAAAGTTCCACATAATGCTTTTTCTCAATACAAAACAAAGCTAGTAATAATAATAATAATAATAATAATAATAATAATGTTATTATTATTATAATTATTATTATTTCTTGCACATTAAATAACTATATTCTATTAGTGTGTTTGTGAAAAAAATCTGTGAACTGCAATAAAAAACTGTGACCAATCCTGTGATGAAATATTTAGGCCCTAAACTAGAATGACTCTGCTAAAACTGCTTTAAAACAAAAGGAATGAAGTAGACAGTTTTCATGAATCTGCAGCAAAACCAAACTAATACCTCCAACCAGTATATTTCATTGAGTAAAAGTCATCTTCTTCATCGAGTTGGTTTTAAAACAGTTTTAAGTGACCCGTTGGTGGATGGGGTCTTAATCATTAGGTGAAATGGTGTGAAATAAGTATTTATAGTACAGACAAAAAACTCTTTCATCACCCTCCAACAGTTAATTTGAAATATATCAAGAGTAGTCTACATAACTGTGTTGTCTTAACAGTTTTCAAACTTCTACATTTTTTTCACATTTGAATTGTAAATAATAAGAGAAACATTAACACTATCAACCGAATGTGAACAGTTCCTCTAAATGTAATGTATCAAGTCTCTGAACACAAAGATGTGGCATTAAATAGTATTGAAAGAACAAAATGAGAAGAACAAAATGAATAATGTGTAAAACCATGGAGTACCTACTAAACACAACTTCAAGGTTGCAAGACTTAGTGATATCCAGCAGTATACTACTATTGAGTGAAGGCATTATAGAAGTGTTCAAGAAATTGGCACAATACAGATGAAAATAAAAATACTGATAAAATCACATTCCACCTTCTGAAACTTTCAAGGCAGATGAAAAAGTGCCATATTGCTAAAATAAGAGAACAAAGTGTTTTCTTTGACATCATGTTCTCTTGTTCTAAAAAGTGAATATTACTAGAGAGAAGGCAGATTTGACTAAATCTGGGTTTAAAGCAGAACAAAATTTTCTTCACAAGTCAATTCTTTACACAATTTCACAGTATTAAAATAATATTAAAAACATATCAAGGCCAACGTAGAGAAAGTTTTCAAACATCTCTATTTTTCTATTTTACTCTTTTTACAATTTATCATCTTCAAACATTTACAGCAACAACTGTCTATTCAAAACTTCAGCATTCTTAGGTAGAAAATACTAACAAAACATGTTTGAAGGGGGGGGGGGGCAATCACCACACTTAAAGTCAGCTTTAAAATATCTGCCTTCTCTCACACACACACAAAAAAAGAATAGAATGCCAAATACTAAAACAAAAGAAATAACAGGCATCTTCAGGAAATAATACTCAGTTATCAGAGACCCGTTTACCTGCGAGCCAACTCCACTAACAGCTTTCCTAATGTTTTAACATCCATTCCTTCCATTACTGCCCAGCTGGATAAACATACGTGGTAATAAGGTGACATGCATTTCACATGCAAGTGTTACATTAAGCTTTCAGAAATATCCCCCTTTGATGGAAATCCACACGCTTATTTTTGTGTCAAAAATTTTAAAGGGGTAAGAACTCTTCTTGTTGGCCATAAAAATGCCTTAAAAAGATTTTCCTGTGGTAAACGACAATGTTTCCATTACTTAATAATAGGTAACGAATTAGTTCCAACATTCAAAGTTAATCAATTGTGCTTTTTGTAATAATCTATTTTAAAAGAGATTGTTATAGAGGGTATCAAACTATAAAGGCTCATGTGGTCCAATGTCACATACAGATTTCAGAATAATTAATGTATTACAATAAATGCTGCTTCATTGGTAAAATGGACTTCTCTGTGCTGTTTACAATGTATTTATTGTGGAATTTTGAATCTCAAATGAAAAGTTGTTATCCCTTTCAACAAATTTCAAGTGTTTTTGCCTTATATAGTTCATATATGCCCATAAAGTATACATCATGGACTGTTAGACCCTTCTCACAGTGTGCTGTGTGTTGTTTTCTGCCATATAATTTGCTCCAATTTGAGAGAATGTCAACCTGATAGCCTGGATTTTCATTCAACCTTTATAAATTTTATTTTTATATAATTATTCATGAATACCAGGACATTTCTTATTTCAATGGATGACATCTGTGGATTTCATCAAAATATTGGGGATATATCACTGAAGTAAAAACAGAAATACCATGCTGTAAGATTAAAAACAAACACCCTTTTCAATTTTTGTAAATAATAAAAAAAAAACAACAAAAAATCACTTGACATAAAATATGTCAATATGCATATTATTTTCACCCAATTATTTAACATGTTTTGTTAATTTATTGTTAAATAACTCAAACCAAACCTTATCTAAATTAGTGAAAAATCAAACATGTGAAAATGTCTCAAATTAAAAATAGTGCTAAAAAAGAAAAGAAACCTTGGGGAAAAATTCTACACATACATCGCTGTCTTGTCTAGGGTCTTGTTCTTGAGTGGGCTGCAGAATCAAACATTTGAGGCTCGTTAGAAGTATAATGCACACTCTAAATCACAACCAAACACAATGAAGAGAAGTCTCAACTAATGCATTCATAGAACATAGAATCATTCTACAGCATATATATACTCTATACAGCAGCAGTTTGCTAAACAGTTTCAATACAATCACCTACGTGCTGTATATTACACTACACACAAAAAGATACATATTTTTCTAATTAAATCTGAGATCAATCAGTTATTAACAAAATTACCAAATATACAACAAATCAAGTTTTGAAGAGAAAAAAAAGAGTGATCTTAAAAGTAAAATTGCTCATTATTCTAATGAACATAAAAAAAACAGAGATTTGTGCATAGAACTGAAAATGGTGGTTTTCATTTCATTGCCTCTAAATACATGCCAATCAATAAAATCTATGTGCAACTTAAAACCTTGCAGCCTTTATTTGTCACTCATGGTGTAACAGATAAAAAGAGTGATATAATAATAATAATAATAATAATAATAATAATAATAATAATAATAAAAACTGTCATAACCTTTGTATTGAGTGCATTTCAAGGTCCACACCTTTTACGAGAGAGAGAGAGAGAGAGAGAGAGAGAGAGATTCCCTATATACAGAACATGTGGAGTGTAGCATTAAAATTTCTTTTATAATAACTATGGTGGATGCAGTGTGCTCACTGGTAAGAATATGAACCAAAAACTCAGATAATCCTCAAACCAGCATGCATCTATGATAAAGGTTTCTTCTTCCCATTAATAATTATGTAAAAGGTAAAGAAATGCATACTTACTTCCTTACAGCTTGGTTATCATACTGTAGAAAAGTTGACCCGTCAAATTGAACGGGACTGTTTTTGTCGATGTCAGTTTCTGAAAATGAAATGAACTGAAATTATGGGTGTTATCNTAATAATAATAATAATGAAAACTGTCATAACCTTTGTATTGAGTGCATTTCAAGGTCCACACCTTTTACTTGAGAGAGAGAGAGAGAGATTCCCCATATACAAAACATGTGGAGTGTAGCATTAAAATTTCTTTTATAATAATCATGGTGGGTGCAGTGTGCTCACTGGTAAGAAAATGAACCAAAAACTCAGATAATCCTCAAACCAGCATGCATCTATGATAAAGGTTTCTTCTTCCCATTAATAATTATGTAAAAAGTAATGCATACTCACTTCCTCACAGCTTGGTTATCATACTGTAGAAAAGTTGACCCGTCAAAATGAACGGGACTGTTTTTGTCGATGTCAGTTTCTGAAAATGAAAATGAAATGAACTGAAATTATGGGTGTTATAAAAAAAAATCAATCAGGGAATATACAGACCATGTGAATATCAATACTGGAATCTATCAAAAACAAATAAAAATATCATGAAAGCATATTCATGTACCAATATTAAACCACATGCTAGATATCATTTTAGGAATTAAAAGAATTAATATGAAAATTCAACTTAAACTCATAATTAGTAAAACCATCAAAACAAAACAAGGCATTATCACTATATATTACTATAATATACCTCTCTGACAATGTTCCCCAGCATATCCTATTCTACATTTACACTCGTATTCCGCTAATTTTGGCTTACAATAGCCGCCATTTTGACAAGGGTTGCTGGTACAGGGTGGCCCCTGATATATACCCATATGTTCATTGGCTACTGCGCCAGCCAGTAAATTATCATACATGCGCCCATTTATGTACAGCTGAAAGTATATACAATTGACCCCATTTACATTTCACAAGAAAGTTGAATATGTGATAGCAACTTTAAAAGTAGCAAACTGACTTTCTTCAGTGCTTATGGCAATTTTTTGTAACATCATATTTTATCTAAAAAGGATTTGATTCTTAACAGTTTACTTTAAACACCAATTCTGATAAATAATTCAATATAAAGTGAGGGTTCCATCAGCGGCAATATTAAATCCCTGCTTCAAAATATTTTTAAAATAAAAAATAAATTGACTTACTCTCTGTATAGCACCATGGAAACCGGACTTAATACCGGAGTCTGGGTTGATGGAGCTTTTGTCTTTAAAACCACCTATATAAAGTGGCTGCCCAAGATTAAGATCTTTCAAAGTTCCCTAGTGAATTATGAAAAAAAGCTCTCCAGTGAATTATGAAAAAAAAAAGTAATTAGTGTGTAAAAACTGAGTTGTATGAAATACTTTGCTTTCTAAGAATGACAGTGATCAATGTGTTTTCTCTGAAGTAAAATGCATCGCACACACAAACACACAGGTACATTGTACAATCTCTCTACTTCTCACTCTATTCACCAGTATTTTTTAAATTTTACAAAAAATCTTGAGAGGAACCCACAAAGAAATCAACCTGTTAAAAAAATTGTACGGACAGTGCATTCATGTATATGCCTACGATCACACTTAGTTTCCAATTTTACTTAATGGCAAAATTTAAATCCATCCTTACCTTGGATTGCCCTGACTGACTGACAGAAGTGCCATTTATAATCATGTTGCCTTGACGATTTCTCCTCTCTACCGTCACTCTGTGCCACACATTCAGAGCAATGCGTTTGGGTGATCTGAAATTATTATAGTTCCATATGGATCAGGTATGAATTTGGTGGTATGAATTTGCCCCAATAGGTGGCACCCCAGAGCATGCTAAAAGGTGCAGATGAAGAACATAGAAGAGTATTGGTCTATATTTTGAGTTCTGTCTACAAATATTCTACATATAATTGTATCCATACTTATCCATAAGCAAAGATGCTACATAATGAACTGAAAACAATTATGCTTTTTAAAACATTTATCTTATCTACATATATTCTTTACATAAAACTGTTAATCAAAATGCCAATTTTTTAAATATAATATTGTCTGAGAAAATAAAAAAGAAATAAATTTTAATACAACCCAAAAATTCTTAAAATCTCATTATATTTAAGAGAAAAAAATTTAGACTTACTTTATATAGGCCGGGCCTCCACCAAGATCAAACTTGAATTCCAGGAAGCCATTTTTAAGGTTTAAAGAAATGAAGTCCCCTTTCCCATTAGCTCTCTGGCCACAGTATAAGATCATGCCTAGCAAGATGATAAGGACACATTTCTACCATACTACTTATAAGTAAGTTTTTCAAAGTTTTTTATATTAAACGTCTGAAATTCTGAATTGAATCAATTAAATTCATTTATCCAATCTAGATATTGAGACAGTTTATTGGCATATTAAATACTGCAGATACATTTCAATATAATTAACAGATAAGGAAAGAAAAAGTTAATAAAAAAATCACTTATGATTCTTATGTTTTAATTCGAAGTATGAGAAAAGGAAAGATGATGGACACAGTAGTCACAGCAGAGGGAGGGTAAAAGAAGAGCCATCATACCATTTCCTTTGGTGGGTAAAAACCAGACTTCAAAGGCTATTGCCCTAAGGACATTATCATTGAATTCCCTTTCTATGTAAGAATTTCCATTGAAATCAGGGATAGTATAGAGTGGCAAGGTTGTTGGTGATACAAGTACTGAAAAAAACATATATTCATATATTCCAAATGATGCAACTTTTAATGAGGAACATATAAAATTAGTCAATTTTAGCACCCAAGTTTGATATATCAACAGAAAATGTAGAAATACTATAACACTCAAAAAGTTGCATACTCTGAGATTTTAAAAAATTTATAAAATGAAATGTGCTCAATGGCAAGTTTTCAAGTACTGATAGAAACTTCTAATTTCTGAACAATAATATTTAACTAGTCTGAAAAAAAAAAGTTTAATCAAATTAGATTAGTTTAAACACACAAGCACTTTCATGCTCCCAGCTAGGAAACCAGACCATTTCAAAATTATGTCATAAAGAACTATTTTAACCATATGACTTACAATTTTCACAATACTGGCCACTCCTCCCACTGGGACAGTTGCATTTGACCTCATTATCTGACACCACCTGACAGGTGGAGCCACCTTCACAGGGGTTTGAAGAGCACGGGTCCCTCCCCTCTGCACACTGTGGCCCTGGTGAAAACATAACAAATAATAACAATAATAAATTAAAAATGTTGAATTTGGAATCGCAACCAAAATACTAGTAAACATATACTGAAAGGTGATTTAATAATGCAATTTTTGTAAGTATACATTAAATTGGTAGCACATAGAATAGAAGGAAGCAGTCAAACGAAATTTATTTGACAGACATGTTGTGTGTGCTCACGCTTGATTGGAATCAAACATTTGAAGTGGTATCCTTGTATTATATAAACAGAAAATACAATGATGTTTCAGAAGTTACAGATGTACTGGTACTGCTAAAGTGGAGATTTCTTTATATTATCAATAACAGCAATATAATTACTGACAATATCAAAATTTACCCATATACACAGAACAATCTATTTTTCAATCCAAAATGAACATGAAAAAAAAAAAAAAAACTAAAAAACACAGAAAAGCAGTAGGCCAAATGGCATTAAACCATGTAAAATTTTTCAATTTTTTAAACCAAAGTTAAATTTTTTTCATTAAAAAATAAATCGATTAAATATCTCACCTTTAAACCCTGGTCGGCAAACACACAGGAAGTTTTCTTCATCGCGGAAGTAACAAGAGCCACCATTTTGGCATGGAAGACTTCTGCAAGGATTGTCCCTGCATTCACCTTCAATATAAAATCAGCATATTTTTACTGATTTCATAATTCATAAATAGATATCCTTAGTTTATTTCACCACCATCAACATCACTCAAGTGCACATTTTACATATTTTTTATAATTAATACTACTCTCTGGTTCCTAATTGCCATCTGGTTTGGAATAGTAGTACAGGGTAGAAAAATGCTCAAAATCTAATAATAGTATGGTCCCGTATAAACATACAGGGTGGAAATTTGACCAATAAAGAACCGGCAATCTATCACATGATGTGAGTGCGACTGGATGTGATTGCATATATGCCTTGAAATGCACTGCTGTCACAATCTACAGTAAACACAGGGTGCTGCCATGATGGATTTCGCTTGAGTGTTAAAATGGGTCAACACACGTATGTGGTACACGAACAGGTCTGGGGAAACTGGGATTTTTAATAAGCGTACAGTCTCGAATATGGCTGTACAGTGTGGAATATTGTGACAAATAAATACCCGTACATGTATGGCAATTAGGAACCAGAGAGTATACAGCTAATAACCACCATGGGGTGGCTTTCAGGAATGCAAAATTCCCCGAAAGCCAACTTACCAATTCCATGGTACAGTCAACTTACCAATTCCATGGTGAGACACGATATCGCCCGATTGTGGTAAGTCCAGCGTGTACGCTCGGGTAGCGATTGAATTGCCATCTGATTTAGATACTGTTAAAGCAAACACACAGCCAACTAGGCCATGGCCTGTGCCAATCTCTGTCACCATACTGGAAAGTTATGAGCATAGCATTAACATTAATAAATTAACATATCATCAGCATGTCATTAACATCTCTTTAAATTAGCTTTCAATTTAATTTCGAACATGCTTATTTTTAGTTTCATTATTATTATTATTATTATTATTATTATTATTATTATTATTATCTGTTAAAATGATTCCCACTTAAGGTCAAAAAATCGGGCAAAGTTCAAAATTGAATTAATCTTACTCATTGGTCATGTCTGGAATCCCACCAACATAGAGTGGCTGGTCAAGGTTCAGTGACCGCAGATTCCCCTGTGAACTGCCCAGGACCTCCTCTCCATTGTCCACTTGTAGTGCACCCCGGCTACCAGATCTGTTGACCATCACATGATGTTGTCTGTTGAGTTGGATGGGCTTGGTACTTCTTATCAGAGCTGGGCCACTGCCAAGGTCATACCTAGAAAACAAAAAAGGAAATGAAAAAGTTGCAATAATAATAATAATAATAATAATAATAATAATAATAATAAATTACAGTGTCCTCTTTGGAACATATACTAAGATAATGGATGCAACTAAAAAGGACTGCATACATTTTAAATTAGGTATGAAATATTAACATTATGCTCAATTTAACATTAATTATAAACAATTCTCAGCCCATGGTTTTTATACAGTTATAAATCAATTTTATCCTTCACAATTCCTCACCTATACTCTACATAACCATTGACAATAGCCAGTGAGATGAAGTCCCCTCGCCCCTCCACAAACTGGCTATTGTACAGCAAGATGCCATCCTTATTGTGGGTCTTAAAGGTAATCTCTATCCTATTAAATTTATCCACACCGGTCAGCATTCTAAACTGAAGCCAAGACTGACCACTGAATGAAGGGGTGCTGATGCCTGATGGATTGGCTGAAAAAAAGGGCAAAATAATTTGGTGTTGGTATGACAGATAAAATGTAACATATTTGACAATACTTTCAGAAGACTATGCAGCAATATGTTTAACATATGCTGCCATAATTTAAGTTTATTTAAGTATGTCAAAATACAAGATGCCTAAAATGTAATGGATGTGATTGTATGTTAGATGTGACAATGTGTTAGGTGTGACAACAGTTTTGTCAGAAATTGAGTTTCTTTGATCAAAGAAAAATAAACCTCAAAATAAAATTTTTAATTGAAAAAAAAAAAAAATCAAACAATTGAAGCATTGGAATTGTGAATGATTCCCGTACCTATGCACAGACTGTTGAATTCAGAAGGAACGAAATCTTGGTCACATACACAGAAGCTGCGTTCGCAGTGACTGTGGGCAACAGAACACTCTTCATCAGTCTGGCACACGTCCCCTATCCTACCTGTAATATAGAATTTCTCTTGAATTAATTGAACATAATCTATATTTGGGTCATTCCACAGAAAAGTTTCTCTTGAGTCATGCTAGTGATGTACATATTTGGTGTGACATTTGCATGTTTCACATCACTTTTAAAATACTGTTTTTACATTGGAGGGCACTATAGTTTAAATTGGCACAAATAATGAGTTAACAAAAATCATATATTAACTGTGAACATCACTGACATGACTCAAAAATTTTGTTCCTTTTTTGACATGAAATAAATCAATTTTTCATAATTCATAGTTGTCCTTTTTTTGGTCAAGAAATAAAGTTCAAAGCATCCCAAACAAAAAGCTTGAGTTTTAAAGATTACTCGGAATCACATGTAACTTCTATTATCAGCAAGCATCAACAATGTTGACATTACTTTCCAGTAACTTGTCAATTTTAGTTTGTCAATGCAAAGACGTATACATCAACTGCTTTATCAAATCCGAATTGTTCAGCATAATATATCTTTACCAGTCACTGTCCCCATATCCATTATGTAGCTGTAGAATATTCATTCAAATCTCCAATTTATATATTCTCATTAGACAATTTGTAGGGCATTTAAAATATTTGACAACTTGCAAGCAAATGAAAAGCTGGACTATATGATGCTAAGTTTGTAAAAACCATCTGTAATCCATTGATAGTCTTCAGTCCTTCAATCAATATGATTTCTGTATATTTTCTGTAGTGGATTAATTAGGATAAAAAAACAATTCATTCAAATTTAAATGTCTATAAAACTATTTAAAATATCAATTTAAGACTTATTATTTGTATTATTCATAAAATGAACTGCCGAGCTAGAGTACATCATTCTATTCTTTTATTTAAATTATGATACTAATATGTTAGTTACTTAAAATATATTATATCACCTATAAGTATCAAAACGATACCGTAGGAAACAACCCCGGCCTTTGACAAACTTAATTTAACATAGTTTTTATAATAATTAGATTGTTATCAAAAATTAGAAAAGCATATATATATATATATATATATATATATATATATATATATATATATATATATATATATATATATATATATATATATATTTAGCTATTGTAATTATCATATCTGTATAACTTCCCCATTATCTTTCTAAAATATTTCTACCACTACAGACCATAATATAGTAGGTATACTGTATGTGATAGATACAATACGAGTCGCCGAGCTGTACGTGAAATATTACGAGTGTATTGGCCAGCCAAAGGCGAGACAATACAAGAGTAATTTTCACGTACAGCTCGGCGACGAGTGTTGTATCTGGCTTAAACCACGGCCTTTGATTGGCTACTACACTAGTGAGTAATGGGAGTGGAATGCACTCGTACATGACGTGCTTGTATGTCAGATACAGCATGGTCGTGTCTTTTGTTCTATGCGCTAGCCGTGGTTTAAATATTGGTGTTAGCATCTTGAAAAGTTAGAATATTACAGTAGTTATGTTGTTATTTTGACTACTTATTATTCTATGTTCATATATATATTGGAGTACAGTTACAACCCTTAATAATATTATGTACTATCATGTAGATATATATATAAATGTTAGACATTATTTATTTATTTTAAGATCAGGTATTCAGCAAAGGATAATTTTTTAACAGGGATCACTCAAGCTGATTTGTTACTTCTTGTAAGCCTGTTAGATTTTTACAATTATACAGATCTAACAGCAAATTTGGGCACTGGTAGCCTTTCATTACACTTTGTGCAGTGACAGTAATATATATTAGATATCAAAGATATATCATTTCAATTAAAAAATTTAGACAATCAACAACTGTAGAACAGACATAAATTTAAGTGATCAACCACTCCCTTAATTCATACTAAAATATTTAGTAAATAAAAAAAACATGTGAACTTAAAAGTAACAGTTAATGTAAATTTTTTATCCACAAAATTAAGACATTTCAAAACAGTTTCTAATAANCTACTAATAATTAAAAAAAATGGTTTCCTTTATCATGGTCATTTCACCTGCACCCAAACATAACAAAGTCATGCAATGTTACTGTGTCTTTGTTTGCGTGCATGCACGTGTGTTTGCATGTACATTCAAGTGTGTGTACATGCATGTTACGATATATGCACAAGCATATAAAACATAATAAGCATCACCATGCAATGTTATTAATATAAGCATATTCATGCAGTCAGCGATTAAATGGCCGTTGGTTGTGGGGAAAAAAATTTGGGGAAGGGTTCTGTGACAAAAACATGAACTTTAGTTTAATATTTCAAAAATCAAGGAAGTAGATAAATTCTGTGGCATGTTCCACATGTTTCCTCTCACCCATCAAAAAAAAAAAAAAAAAAAAAAGTAAATGAATAAAAAAGACCAGAAAATGTCATCTTTTTGGCACAGAAAGTTTACTTCACAGCAAGATGTATATGTGAGCATGTGTGCAAAGCGCGTGTACCCGTATGGAAATGCATGCATGTCTTCTGAGGGAGGGGGTGGGGGTGGGTAAAGGTGGGAGAGGGGTCGAAGATTTCTTACATCACCAACAGATTTGTTTACAACAAACAAAAGTACATACCGTAAAAAGGTTGATCTGACAATGAACCGCCTACAATGCAATTACATCATGTTCTTTTGATAACTTGAAAATCAGACATATATATCTAGCAATCAGTGAGAGGAAGCTGAGATTTACTCTAAAATCATAAAATTTAAGTATGTTCAGACATATTTGGCAAAAAAACAGCAATGGCAATTTTTCATACACTTTAATAACCTTAGTTATTTCTATATTATTATTTTTTTGTTTTTATCTAAAAAGTTATAGCCAATAATGGTGTATTAATACACATATAATAAATTCATCGATAAATTTGAATCATAAATTATTTTCCCCTCAAGTATGAAAATGTAGTTTTTTAAAGTAAGGAATTTTAATCTCATAATATGTGCCAAAATGTCTAAAGCAAAAAAATCTCATGATTAAAAGAGCAAACATTTAAAAAATGATTTTTCTAAAGCATACATCCAAATCAAAACACATAAATCAATCAGTGTGTCAATCTTGCAGTAAATCGTGGCAATGCAATGTTAATGTGACAATTAATGAAAAAAGTGACATAGATTAATGGCAACAAGAAATGCCAAATAGGAAATTGAAATCTTCTTAGCAAGTGAAAAAAAAAAAGCTGACGTGTAACTATATTGACAACAGAAAAAAAATCTAACTTGAATTTATTGATAGGTGGAAAAACTAGCAGGTGATCAAATTTGCTAGACAGTCTTAGCTTGGACAATAACCTCTTACTGACTGTGAATGTTACATGTAAAGGCTATCGCCAGTCTAAAACTCTCTGTTAAGACTAAAATGTGATTTTAAAAAATGCAACAACTTTAGAAGCTTCTGACCAAGAGCTTTATTTCTTAAACAAGAAATAATTCATCAAGATTAAATGACTTAGTCAAACTTACCAAATTTCTGGTCTTCTTCTTCTTCAGGTGGTTTTTGTGTTGGTTCAGGCGGACTAGAATCAGCAAGATGGCGTGTGGTTTTTCTTGAAGAGCCATTTGGTGGGGGACCAGTTGTGCTGCTCTCTAGTGGTGAAATACCTATTTATAAACATATAGATATAATGTTATGATTTTTACATGATGTATCTATGACATTACATCCTTCAATTTAGTAAAGAAAAGCTTCTAAGACAGCCACTAGAACCAATTTTGATTACATCTTTATCCCACTAGCTTAAAAGATACCTGCTTACTTCTCTTCTGTTTGTTCAAGGGGGTTAATGAACATAAGTAGAGTGGTAGGTGAATCCTGACATCTTATTTTGTATGTAAAGATAAGAAGTACACTAAAAAATAGTGCATGGAGTAATTACACATCTTGGCTTTCTTGATCCCAAATGCGCACTGAAAATGTACACATGTAGCACACTGCTTACAGTACTTCTGCCCCAATCAGAGTAAAATGCAGGGGTGGTTTGAAGCCATCTTCTGGAAGACGGTCAGAATTTTTCAAGGTTACACTGCTGGGCATCTAATTTTTCTGTTGGAAGACAGTCAAAAATTGAGGATGGATCAAAAAAGACTTTGGGAAGACTGTCAGAAAATATCTCTGGATCCACCCCTGCATTGGACCGCTCACCAATTAAGCTGGAGAAATCTTTCATCATTTATGAAAAACTTAAATTTCCAACTTCAAAGGCCTACCTGCACAACTTCCTTTCTTCAAAATTCTAATTTCTTTCTGCTCTCGACATTGGAACTCTCTCAGCGTACACTCATCAGGGTATTGTCTGCCATCAGAGCCACAAACTTTACCAGGTGTTGCACCCGTACAGTCCATTTTACACCTACATTCTGCTTGTCCATCAACAACTTCACAGGTGGCACTAAAGTTGCAAGACAAGCTCTCACAACTAGCTGAGAAGAAAAGAATGACATAATCATTCATACAGACTGAGTGAATGTAAAAATGTGACTGTACCTTTGTGTTTTATTTGGGGGGGGGGGGGGTTCTAAATTATATGCACTTTATCAAAATGTACCTAATTACTAATGTGGTATGTTTTTTACGAGTGGGTTCTGAAAGCTCAAGTCAAAAAGTCATTAAATGAACAATTTGGGAAGTTTTTAAGGAGCTTCTTCTCAGGGATGCATGGGGAATATCTTTATAAAAATTAAATCAGATTAACATGCCTTTTCTTGTTTCTAACGTACTCATATAATCACCAGGGCCCAGTTTTATAAAGTTTTATAAAGGACATTTAGCACTAACTTTAACCAATAGTCTGTTAGTAAAGTGACCTTTAAATAATTATTTAATCCAGCTAAACACTGGCCAGTTAACTAATTGGCTGTTTTCCATCAGAAGACTGTACATAAAACACATTTTAACCATCTTTTAGTTAATGGGTGTTAGGGGAATTTATCCACTGGTTAGGCTTATCCACTGGTTAGTGCTAAACGTTCTTTATAAAACTGGGCCCAGCTTTTTTGCATTCTATTCAATGCCAAAAGTAGGTGTATTAATCTGTAAATCTGATATTGCAGTCCCAGAGTTTGTCCCCCTGGAGTTTGTTTCAACTACTTAGTATGATCGTTTCACTGTGAATGGACCCTTAGAGCATGCTTACTTGGACCAGGTGTGTCACATCCATTAGGTCCCGGAGGTTTGCCTGAAAGACACCTGTCGCACTTGTCACCCGTCACCCCGCCGGGAATTTGCTTACATAAACAACGTCCCTTTGTCTGCTCACAGTCATCCCGCTCCGTCCCATACCGATTACAGTTGCATGCTGGGAAAAAAGATTTTCTTTATACTGTTTTTATGACATACCCTTATACACGTAGGTTTCTGTTATTGTTGCATGTTGAGAAATGCACATGGCAATGTTTTGTTAATGGCAAGCTACAGTACAAATCCAAAGCAAAATTAATTTCCTCTCCATAAAAATTCAGCTCTAAAATAGTTTTAATTTTTTTTTTCAAAATTTGAACAGAAAAATCTAGTTGACTAAATCTTAACACCTTTGCTATCCAAACTTTGTGACATTACTCCAACGAAATTTGGTCTAAATCAAATGAATATAATTGTGAAATTTGATTAGCTACTCTAAATAAAAATGAAATTATGAAATAAAATTATTTAAATCTGCACTTTCATAAAAAGCTAACTTTTCTTCAAAAAAGAAAAAAAAAGAAAAAACTTACGAATGCAGCCACTGTTACCATCAGTTGTAATTTTACGAAATCCCCAATAACCGATTTCGCAACGATCACAATGCAGTCCACTTACGCCGGGCTTGCACGAGCATTGTTTTGAAGTGGGGTCACATGTCTTTCCGAATGAACCAAAAGGGTTACACTCACAGCTACCTTGAAAGCGATAAAACAATATTTAAAAAAAAAATTTGAAAAAAAGTTACTGAAATTGTTCAATAATGATTAAAATGACTGAGCTACAAAGAGAAATACATTTCAATTCTACACTTGTGAAAGATGCAGCTTATGATTATTAATAACAGGTGCATCATGCTTGTTAGGCAAAACAATGCATGGATATTGATCATTTTCAACAATGCAGGTTACATACACTGTACTACAGTATACTTATAACTAGCATTTTATAGATTATCATAACTTTTTTTAAATGCTCTCAAGTATAAGTATGGAACTATTCATTAGTACAGTATTTGAGATTTCCATTCCAGATGCAAATATGCAGATGCACTACATATTAATTATATAATTATGGACAAAGGCAGTCAACAACAGAGACACTACTTTCTGTAGTGCCATGCAGAACAATACAAAATTAAATTAAATGAAAAAAAAGTTAATTTCTTTCAGCACCTGGGTCTGTTCACACTCTGGACCAACTTAAAACACAAATTGACTAAACTGTATCATATGACATCACCAGTTGCCCAGATGACATGGGATTCTCCATTACAATTTCCCATATTCAATTCCTAGCTATAGTCTTGTTTGTGAACTGAATGACAATAAAATAGTTAATACGTACTGTTTTCACATGCAGTGTTAACAAGAAGGTTAAAATATATTACAGGATTTTAATGTCATGCATGCAGGCTGGTTAAATTTTAGAGAGATCATTGTTAATATATTTTTACATATTGATATACTTATACACATGTACATGCTCAAATATACATGTAGTAGTACCAAAATGCTTTTGACTATAGACTAATATATCTCAACAAAGCTGAAGCAAAGCTCAAGAAATATTGTTATGATAATCACTTCAATTATTGAGATCAAAAAATTTTGTACTGTCAAATATTTCACAAATGTTCATGTTTTTAGCTGAAAACATACTGCTGTAACCCTGCTTTTCTTCCTTTTCCATGTGTAATTTTATTCAACCGGTATACATATTGATTATTATTGTGCTTTGATGATGATTATTTGATTTTGAAGCTGGATCCTATATGTAATCGTATTGCAGTAAGTTTTGTTTTCACTTGTCAATTTTTTTTTCACAAGCCATCATCCATAAAGAGTCAGTTGCATTCACACAGGTCCAAAACTCAAATTTCACACAGGTCCAAAACTCAAATGGTTTTGTGCCCAAAATGCATTGCCAAAATATTACCTAAAATACACCCGAGTTTAAAACATGTCAAGGATGGATGTACTGTGTAAAAACTGGGACTAGAAATATCTGTCCCAAGTTGTAAACTCTTTAGTGTTCTGGGGATGCACTGATACCTGAGACGGTTCTCGGTCCCTCCAAAACCTGTCTGACTGCACCTTAAGAGCTCACCTTTGCTGGTTACATATAATATTGGAAACTCATGGAAGCTGAAGCACATAACTCAATACCCACAAAGTGAATAAGTAATTACAGCCATATGCTGTTGCAATTTTAACAAAGTCTGAAAATTACTTATCTGATAAGTTCAGATTGTTAATTCATATTATAATTAGATAACTTAACCATTATTCATTTATGGCATTAAACTTCAATATGCATGTTAAATATCAGATGCAGCAAGTTGAGGCATAGACAAGAAGTTAAATGTCTGTTTTAAAGAAAGATACAAGAAACCAGGCCCGTAGCCAGCAATTTCAAAAGGGGGGTTCTTTTTCTGAAAAAGTGGACCTTTTCCCATAAAAACGTCATGTACCTAGATCAAATCTTACCCAGAGTGGACCTTTTCCAGCAAAAGGGGGGGTTCTTTCGAACCCCCCGAACCCCCCCCTGGCTACGGGCCTGAGAAACCATACCCCATCCACATTTCAGAGGGGTAGTACACAGCAAAAAACCACATAACCAGCATCAACCCATCATCCTCTCCAAATGTCGACAAAATTTGTTACAGTAGCACAAACAGTAAAATCAGTCGTTTATTTCCATAATGAGTATCATTGAGCAACAGATTTAAAAAGAATGATTCATATTCACAAAAATATTAACCAATCGCCCTTAAAAATGGATTATGACATCACAATGAAAACTCATAAATTGTACCAGAACCACCTACTAGATACTTCTTTTTGCACATTGAAGAAATTAAATGTAGGTCATAAATGATCAACTCCCTCACACATGCATGTTCGTGCACACATACACACACACACACACACACACACACACACACACACACAAACACATGCATGCATGCTACACCTAAGACCTACTAGGACATCCGGCTCCATTGGGACCAGGAGAAGACGTCTTTCCGTCAGGACAGCAGCCATATTTACTCTCCGCACAAGGAATAGGAATAGGCTCTGGAACGTAAAATTTAAGTAGTATGTATACATCTCGGGGAAAATATTTTTATATTTTATATATTAAAATACTTAAGCAAAGATGAGCTGCACATGTGATGCACACTTTTCATTTTGCTAAGGGTAACCTTTTGCTCCTGCCAAATGTGAAAATACAGCGGTAATAGCATCTTGTGAAAATCTGTGAACATAGGCATAAAGTAATTAAGCCACCAAAACCCCTTTCATAATAAATCATGAATCATCAGAAATGGTCAAAACTCTCTGAACTGAACACAAAATCAAGTAAGATATGGCAGAATATGGAAGAGAATGGGTCGAGAAATAATGGCAGGTTTCTCGCACATTTTTAAATCTCAAATAACATCATGCAGTGTTCACAGCCTCAATTTCGGTTACATTAAGAAAATAATTGCACCTACTTATAACTTCCAAACAATACAGTATGTATAAATTTAGTTGTAATGACATGTTTTTTCATCTCAAATATAATAATAATAATAATAATAATATTTATTTCTTATATAGCGCATTCCATTTTTTACATTTCAATGCACTTTACAAATAATTAAAAAGTCTAAAAATAACAATACTAAAATACTTTAACATTTACTGATAAAATTAATTAATTAAAGAAAGCAGAGAAAATTTATTGATATAACTTTAAAATACTACTAAAATTAACCCAAGCTAAATATGCCATCATGCAGTGTACACAGCCTCAATTTTCAGCAACAGGTAGTTCAGATGATTTCTGTTCCAATAATTTTGCACCTACTTGTAACTTCCAAACAACATTTGGCAAACTTTGGTCCCTTGTGGCAGTAACTGTTAGCTGGACAAGGGTCATCAAGACTGTCAATGCTGCAGTCATAGTCTTTGCCAGTTCTTGGGTTGACCAACGGCGTCTCTCCATCACAGGCAATCGAAGGAGGGCCTGGAATTGTCATTAATATTGAGTCATTAAAAAAAATAATAATAAAAAATAAGAGTCAGTGATGTCAGTGATGCATGCATTTTGTGTTATATTCACAATTTTTTGACTAGCCCATCACTTTTTCTGTTTTATTATAAAATACCCTTAAATATAACTTCAAGATAAATAATTGTATGCATTCTAAAATTTTAAAATTTGCGATTAAGAAAGATCCATCATCTATTTATAACATCTGTTTGATATTCTAATGCAGAAAATTCAGCTGAACAACATTACATGGTACTTCTTTGATCTCTCTCTGGCGTTTACACATGGCGACTTCCAAGTGACATTTACTCATGTACCGCTTGCCGTCATTGCCACAAACTGGCGACCTGGTAACAAAAACACCATTTTTTTTCAGTTGTAATACTAATTTACAGACTAAACATGCATTTACACTGCAGAAAGAAGCCATTAAAAGAAAGTATTCACCCCTTTGCTCTTTGTAACAATCTCTGTTTAAATACTAATACAGTATGT